TTGAAAACACTTGTGGCTGCTCTGACACATTCATCTATAGATTGCATGAAGAAATACAGAACGTAGTGTGAGTACTAGTGTGAACGTCTGAAGCTGAGAAAATGAGTGAACAGAACATCATGAGATGTTCCAGACGTGGACACGTACCTGTTTCTGTACAGAGGGAGTACCGTCCAGCCTAAACCCTCAGGGCTCTTCCCTTTCTTAGAGCCCTTCAGGTGAATCATCAACATGCTCTCGTACGGGAGCACGTTCACAGGAACAGCAAACACCATCCTAAAAACAACAAATATCTTTTCATATAGGAAATGCAACATTGTTCAGAAATAAAGACGGCATATATCTGTTCTTACATGCGGTTACAATGGATCGTGTTTCCAAGCGACAGGGCAGTGCTGATATTTTCAGAAATGCCAGTGTCACAGAGTTTCCTTCCGCCGTACATCAAATCGCAGGAAAAAGAGAAGTACTCATAACTAAAAAAATAAAGTAAGAAGAGCCCCGTCAGAGATGACACTGTGTGTCAGTGATGAAAATGTCTGTGGGTTGTCGACAACACAAACACAAACCCACACGTTCAGCCAGCTACGGTCTAGTTTGTAGAGTGCTGCGATGTTGAACTGGCAGATTTCCTGGCAGAGGTCAACATCGCAGACTGGCAGAACACGGGCGACCTCCGGAGCTCTGAAGTCAGTCGGGAAGTTCTTGAAAAAAATGTGCAGCACCTTGAGCAGTGCATTGTGCAGCATGATCACTGCTGGAGTTCACAAGCACAATGATGACATTAATGAAGCTGTTTTTTTAGGACACAAAAACCCCCAAACAAAGAACGGATTTAACAAGCAAAATGATTATATCATAGTTATCCTGTTTGTAGACTATAGGCCGTACAAACTGGAAGGAACTCTTGGTTTGTTGAAAAGTAAACAAATGTGGTTGCCAATGTAGGGTCACTCAACTCAACCAGTAAATACTGTGACAGTTTTATGCCGTACTATAGTACATTAGTATGATCTCTTGAGCAGTGCAAATGCCAGTGTATCCCTGGGCACACTGTCAGACACATACTGAAACCCCAAACTGTACATGTGAATATTGCACAGTATGACAGAAGGACAATGTGCAATGTCATTGTGGGAGTGAATGGAACTGAATAATGTAATGAAACGCTGTGTAAAAGCGATTTGAGAGGTCAGAGGTCAGATAAGATAAAGGTCTGCGGCTACAGTACTTTTGTCACAAATGTTTTGAGTGTAAAAAGCGACCAGAGAGAGAAGGAACTCACCATTCTCAATCTCATCGGGACTCTGTGGGAAGATCAAGACATCATGACTCATTAGTTCATTGGTACCAGTTTATATTCCTTATTTCTGATGCATTTTTGTTTTCAGTAATGTGTTATGACTATCAAAGCCAACAAAGAAGTTTGGTAAAAATCAGACAACTTGATTACTTATTGTATTACCAAATTATTTTAGCTCTCATGACGTGACCATGAAACAACGTAGGTCGAGGGTGTCCTCTGCTGGTCGTAATGAATGAATGACAAACCCTAGTCCATAGTACAATGTAGATAGTATCTCACCACATGGATGGGAATGAGTCTGTTGAACCAGCTGATGACATCCTCCAACTCCACACTGGAGAAACCACACAGCAGACTGCTGATGGTGCGAACATGGCTCACAAGAACATTAACATTTGTAGCACTCTACAGATTAGACAGGAAATCAGTGTCAAATCAATACATGATCGTGTGTGTGTGTGTGTGTGTGTGTGACCCCAAATACGTGACAGAAGCCTTGAGGTCTGGGACTGACCTTAGTTTTCATGAGTTTTGTCATCTCTTTGTTGTAACTGCTGAGCATATTCTCCAGGCTCAACCTGAACGAAGGGGAAAATATTACAAACACACACACACACACATACACACACACACACAGGACAATCATACAGTGACATTCTACCATGTTTTTCTACAAACACACATTAGTTGACACCTGACCCAGTGAACAGTTGGCACAGTTACTGGAACCATTTGTACAAAGCTGTGAGTGTTTGTCCTCTCACCTGCAGGTGTTTGAGACACAGGCAGACTGTGGAAGACTTTGGAACAGTTGAAACGGTGGCCTATCGTCCGCTTCCTTACAGAGAATAATAAGAATAATAAAAAAGAGAAATATTTAGAACTAAGATAATGTTTGATTAAAAATCATAAAAGGCCTGCAATTATGATATGAAATCAGCGTCACCATGACGTTGTGTGTAAACAGGGCAAAGTCAAGAGCTAAGGGTGCAGTAACAGCTCAGGATTTGAACTTTTAAAAGAAGCCACGCCTTCTTGGTTAATTATCTGTAAAGAGTCTGTGAATGGAGAGTTAGACCATAAACACTTACATCCCTTGGCAGCTGGTATTTGAGGTTGTTGACATGGAGAAGTCGAAGGGGGATGACGAGTTTGGACCTGGAATAAATCTGAACAGCTTCATGAACCCCCAGCAGTTCTTCACTGGACAGAAGTGAAGACATGAACCACGTTCAGTGTATGATTACTGCATGAATGTATGATACAGTAAAGGTGGCAGACTTACTTCTGCAGGTATTCATCAGTGTCGCACAGTTTCAGAAGATAATGCTCAGCTGTGTAGGAGGCGATGGACAACAGTTGGAATATTTCACCGATCAGACTTTTCACCGTCCTGTTTACTGAAGGAAGGTCAAAGGTCAGACAACATGCCCTTTAACTAAACAGACGAAGGTATTAGACAGTCAACAGCACAGCGAAGCTCTACTGAATTTACATATAGGTGTTTCTCGTTTTATTTTAGAGCTGTGGTGCCCAAAATAAGGCCTGCGGTTCAACTGTTTTCACAAAAGTGTTATATTTACCAAACTAAACATTTCAGGGTAGAGTTGAACAACAATATCAGTTCATTACGTCAGATTATTTTTTGTCATCAACGAGCACTGTTACAATGTAAACAAGGTTGTTTGTTTCCCAATGTGCACCACCAACAAATATGTATATGTAATGGAATACAACATACTTCAATTTTCAGTTTAATCACGACATATTTTATCAGTGTGAAACCTTTGCTGTTTAGTTGAACGCAAAACTGATATACTTGCAGGAGCTGAAGAAAGACAGTCTGAGTATCTGGGTTTCTTTTTAGTTTTATAACCATGTGAAGCCACCTAGTGGAAGTGTATTTTATAGTTTTGCCTGTCGCTGTCACAAATATGAAAAAAGGCAAATTATTTGCAGTAAATAAATGATAGTTTATGGTCCTTGTTCCACTTTCAGTCCTCGGAGGAACATGGTTTGCCCACCTCTGGTATTCAGTAATCAGAAGTACCACTACATGTCAATATGTAGTACAGTAGAGAATGATCTTACCAGTGGTGAGGATTTGAATCTGGTTATGGTCCCATTGTGAGGCCACACTGACATTCACCTCCACCTGCTGCAGCAGAGCAGAGTGGATCTGTTTGGTGCGTCCCCACACTACACCTACATTTTGAACACCTTCGGTGTGTTTATTGCCCGACATCAACCTGAGAACAAAGACCAAAATGGTTTGGTTTCCACAGAGACGGTGAAACTCCCTGAAATATGTAAGAATGAGTTTCTGTTTCATCTCCTTACTTGGCAGTTGCCTCACAAAACGATGTCAGCCTCTTACAGCTGCCCTGTGGAGTGTCAGTCAGGGAGATGGTCCACTGATCCTGGTGGGAAGAGACAACACAAAACAGTTTAAGACCCTGGAACTTCAAACTGTTACGAGGAGGAATTGGTTCAAAAATGAAGACCAGGATTTGTGTGACATTCTTACATGAATGTCAGTATCGGTGGTGGAGCGGGTCAGTCTGTGGGTGGGCCCTGGGAGGTTACAGGAAAACTGCCTGACGGGGAATCGTGTCCTGGGAGGAACCGGTGGGGGCACGGGTCCCTGACTATTTGGAAGACAAGGTTCAGAATAAAGTATAGTTCTGGGTGGAATGGGGGGCGCAGGGAGTGGTCGAGGTTTATCTTGAGAGGGTTGTAGCTGAGGGCATGGTGGGTGGTTCTTGTGGGTATTGACTTCTTCGTACTTGGAAGGGGCATCAATTTCTTCGTACAAGTGCATTTGCTCTAGATGCTGTGTCAGAGGCAAAGGGGCATCACCCTCATTACCATCATTACCATCGTCTTCCCATCCTCTTCCATACATCCTTACAGGAGGATCTGTCACATTTCACATAGAGTCTGTATCAGCTGTGGTGGTAGATTCAGGCGTTTCACACTTTTGGTTCATCTTCTCATCAAAGCATGGCAGAAGTCAGGATGTTGGTATTAGGAGAAAAAAAAGACTACAAGAAATAAATATAGTATAAGAATCAGTATGTATTGTTCTGTGACTTCAGTAGAAAATAAGACAAAGGTTGTTAACTTTGTCTAATAATTAACAGCATTTCAAATCTAAACAGGAAATCTCCACCTCTCGATAGCTGGGCAGAGCTAGTCCTATAGAAAGTGAAACAGTAAAATGAAAAAAGATAAAAACATTCACACCTCCAAACCTTAATCTGACCATTTCTACAATAAATAAATGGAAGAAACTTTTAACTGCCCACACAGAGTCAGCGTAATAGCTGACTGATTGTTAACACATTATAGTGTAATTGTTTAATTCAGGAGTTAATTTGAGTTTTGGCAACTTACCATTAGGTTGGAGGCGCTATTCTAGCAACACCGTCAACGCTCTTTAAGACCAGGCTCAGCAAGTTAGACCAGAACCAGAAGGATAAAGGTCCTCCTCTGGTTCCTCCTCCTCCCGCCCTAGGTCTCCTCCCACAGCTCGACCAACAAGCGCCCTCTGCTGGAGGAATCATAGTACAACATTTAAAAAAGATTCTAAACAATAACTTGCTTCAAGGCTTCTGTTAGTTTATCAAAACGTAAACTTTACCATAAAAAGGAAGTAGAATTTAAGACTGCATACCTGCATCATACTTTATTAATAATTATTCCCCCCACTGACAACTTGAATTTTTACTCTTTTATATTACTTTTTACTGACAGTGTATCTTGCAGCTGGGCTGTTTGCAGCTCACCAACATTTCCAGTTTTACTGACATTCCCTGTTAATGTTCATAAATGTAATTGTATCATCAATAACGATATATAAGACATGACTAAATCTGATTAAAAAGTCAACAGAAAACATATTTTCCAATATTTAATTTCCTCTCTTGATACTATGTCACTAGTATGTTTATAAAGACTCCAGACCAGTGCAGCTGAACTAGATTCTTGGATCATATCAACTCCTCACTCTGGAATGTCATTAGGCTGGTTGGAGCTCCTAACAGTGTGTGTATGTGCGGTGAAGGGAAATGGTAGGAGAGGGAAACGTGACTTCACCTGCAGCACAAGTGATTCATGAGGTGAGATTTACTGTATGATGGACAGCTGGTGAATGGTGGTGTGAAGGACATTTGGACCTGTTCATTTGGCAACTTATTACAGAGTACATGTTGCATGTTTGACCATGCGTTTTACAGTTCGCCATGTTTCAGTTTCATGTTTCACTTCAACGGCAATCCTCCAAATGTATCACAAAGGTGTCACCCGTGGTGCTCAGAGCAGAGGGGAGTACTGCATGACGGGGGAGAAGGAAGAGGAAGATGACTTTCAATCACACCACTCCAAACCTTTCACCTCTGAGCCCCACTGCTGGTTATGTCATCACCCCGTTTATATTCCTGTTCCTGATTGGATGTGCTGTAGCAGTGGTGAGAACATTTCTGCTCCAAGACGACTTCCACAATGTCTGATCACACCACATCCTTGATTACAACAGTGTGTTTTTCCCCCTTCAGATTGTATATGTGAGGAAAAAAATAAGGTGGGTTGGACTCTTCTATCTTTAACTATTGTTTTCTTATTTTTACAGTGAAAATGTTTTTAAAGTTCAGCACCATCTTAAGAAAAAGCATTTTACTAGTAAACTTTAGGAACCTTGTTTATTGTTGGCTAAAAAACAAACAAAACGTCATGTCATGAATTTGGCAGCTTCATAACAAACTACCTACAATTCAATTAAAATTGTGAATGACGTCATAGAATGTTTTTAATTATATTTCTGCCGTCCGAAATGAGTGTAATACGACCTAATTCCCACTGACTACACCTCAAATCATTTATCCTTTTATTAATTCACTTCAGAGTGGATGAATTACGTCACAAGCTGATTCCACTGTACAACTACGACCCTGCAGAGGAGTACGAATGGAGAGATGATGACGTGGACGACGATGAGGACGTGACTGTAAGGGCAGCACTAATGTGTCTAACGAGTCAGCAGCAGGAACAGTTTAATTCAGGAAGATTTTATTTGTATTTATTTTTTCCCAATAGGAACCATTGTACACGGAGGGAAGACTGTCCTTTTCATCTGATTATGGAACGTGAAAACAAATGTATCATTAAAAACGGACGATACACACACCATTCATCACCACATGTCTTATTTCTAAATATATTAAAAATAAAAAATAAGGCGCGGAAAGCATTCCGTCTGGGTTCTTAATGTGTTTGTTAACATCAAGGTTATTCAACACAGTAGCCAATAGATGGCACTGTTACTCTACTTTAAATCTCAGTGGACACCGATAAAAGAGGAGAAATCGTCATTTTTAAAACTAAGTTCAAATATAAATGATGTTTATTGTTGATGTTTATGAGTAGTTTTCTCTGTCTCTGTGCTGCTACTTTGACCGTGCCCATGTGTCAGCTGATTAGGAGCCAAAGTCACAGCTGTTGGTGTTTGCTAATCAGTAGCTCTGTCTTAATTTTGAGGATTTGCAGGCTGCTGCAGTATGAGATCACAAAGAATGGACAGGTAAATGGTACATATTCTGTAAACACTGAAAAAACAAACATTAATGTCCTTTGTTTTAATTTAGCATATTTTTTTCTATACAGACGAGGTGTTCGTCACATGGGACCACATTGGTTCCTGACCGTCACTGTGCTGTCCACAGCTCTGGTCCTCCCAGCTGTAACCCTGGACACCCTGCTGTGTCACTTTTGTCCTCTACAGTACAAAGGCAAAACCTGTACCAACCTGACCACCCAGTGTCCGCCGGACCATCTCTGCTCCAGCTCCAGAGGTTACTTCGGCTCCGTCCACATCGTCTCATCCCAGGGCTGTTTGAGCCGCACGCTCTGTGGTTCCTACCAGATCCTCTCCCACAGAGGGATCGAGTACAACGCCAGTCACACCTGCTGCTGTGGACATAAATGTAACAGCAAACCGAAGTCGGACTCCAGTCTGAAGAAGCTCCTGGGGCTGGAGACACAGGGGACAGACGACGTCAGTATGAACCATGTCCTCAGACAGAACTCTTGGGATTCATGTGGTAACTACACAACAGTGAGGAACAACACGGTACCTTCTGTCACAGCTTAGACAGACCCAGACTGCCCAGAGGCCTGTTAGCCACAGGTCCTTTAACGCACCTCTGAAAGACATTAACATTTGGCCATATGTTAATGCTGTGATAGTTGGTGTTTGTTGTAAGTATTGTATATATTTCCAATGAGAAAAAATAAATAAATCATAGATCTATGTGCTCCTTTACAAATAAGAGCAAAATTAAACAAAGACTTTGTGGTGATTGATGTATGTCATAATTGAAGAGTGAATGTAGAACAGGTGTGTTTCCTCAGACAGATCTGGAGTCAGTTTTTGGAGGTTTTCTCTGTAGGATACAAAATGTGCAGGTAAGATGTTGTTGAATGATGGATATAAACTAAACATTTTTTCCCATAACAAATTAATAATATTGATTAAAATAAATTCAAACCTTTTTTGTGCTATAATTTCCAATTGCTCTGTCACCAGACTTTGCTTTGACTTCCTGCAGGCTGACCATGTCCCAGTTTCTGCAGTTGTCTGTTTTGTGCCTTCACCTCCTCCCTTCGGTGCTGTGTGACAATCTGCGCTGCTACTACAGCCCCATCATGGAGAAGCAGAAGTCATTCAAGCCCATTGTGACAGAGTGTCCTCCCGACGAGCTGTGCTTCAGGGCAGATGGTCGCTTCGGGAATCACAGCGCCCTGTCGGCTCGAGGCTGCATGGCCAAGAAAGACTGCAGCCAGGTGCACAAACTCCGTTTCAAAGGAAGTGTCTACACCATGAGCTACGCCTGCTGTGAAGGGCCGTACTGTAATTCCTGCCTGGTGGTCAGGGCCTATCACCTCCTCTTAGCTCTGACACTTGTAACTGTGGTGGCCAGCTTCCTGTGATCAAAGACTCCAGGTGGTCCGTGCTACAAGCATTTTAGTTTCATGTCAACGAGGATGACGATGAACTGCAGCCTCAGCATAGAGTGTGGATGAAGGCCAGCACCAGTGTAGTGGGAGAGGATTTTAATGTGTTTTAATTTTATATTTTCAAATGTTTTTATTATTGTGTATCCTTGAATAAACATACCACGCTCTGTGTTCTCTAAAATGTTTACGCATTGTCTACTCACACACTATTGATCTAATTTTCTTACTGTCAATACATGTCAGGAATGTGGCAAAACTGAAAAACTACAGTAATACTACAAACCAGCTTTTTGTGTTTACATACAAAGCAAAAACAAAAAAACTGTAAAATGCACAAAGAATTATGAATTAAACCTTTATAGTACTAGTAGTAAAATTTCCATTGCATATTTAAATTTTCATAATTATTGCAATTCACTGTCAAGCATCAATGATTAAAAAAATACAATTATAAAAATGTGGATGGAGAATGGAAAGTCTTTCTCAAAGGCAAAGTCTGACTGGACCTCTTGATGACACATTTGGTGAAAAGGCTAGAAGGCTAGCTTTCTGATTGTAGTTTTGTTTGTAAGCACATGACCTGTACTGCATAAGATCGTATTACTTGAAATGTAGTACGTAGTATAAGGTAGTATATAATTATTTTAAAGGGGAAAAAAACAGCTGAGGCATTGTGTACAGTATGAGGTTTGGCCATTTTTTTTATTTCCCTTTCATAAGGCTGCTGGGTCTCCCCGTAGTGGATATACATATATATACAGGAGATTGCTATACTGGAGTTACACTGAGGGTCAGAGGGTCCATATTACACAGACTTCAAAAAAACAACACTAACAGAGCCTCACCTCCAGGTATCAGAAATCAGCAGAGAGAGAGAGAGAGAAACAGCACAAGACGGAAGAGGGGAGATGATGCAGAGTCTGAGAGCCTGACTCATCAGCCTAATAACTTAACACTAAAAAAATAACATACAGATTTCACGCACAGTGCATCTTAAATAGGTTATGTGAAGAACCATTTACCATAAATATCTGTATTTTTCGGGAACCAACATATATAAAAAGGATTAAAAAAACAAAACAAAAAAACAGTCCTTCATTTATCGTAGTTTTTCCTCTTCACGTCGTGCAAATCTATCCTTTGTTCCTTCTTTTCTGGGGTTTTCCCACCCAGCCCTCAGCCACCCCAGAGAAAACAGACCCCAGCCCCCCCCTCCCTTTCCCCACTCAAAAGCATACGAGTTAGTAGAAATGAACAAACAAATCAACAGAACACCACAGTCAACTCATCACAAAAAGAACCCACAGACACACAGAACAGCAAGAACACAGTACGATTTTTTCTTCTTCACTGTTATTCCTCTTAACGGTCGGCATCTTCATCACCGTCTTCATCCGTACTGGTGGTCGGCAGTGGAATAAACCCCCTCCTCCGGGCGGCTCAATGGAACTGGCAGACAACCCTCCATTTGGCTGGTCAGTTCAGCAGTGATATATTATCTCTTATTTTCACAGTGTGGTAGGAAAAGCAAGGTACGAGGAGGAGGTGGAGTGACTGGGAGGTGAGCCAGAGGGAAGGAACATTACTCAGGGGAATCACAGCAACAATTAGAAACAACTAGAAACCCCCAAACGTCCACTGAAAAAAGTAAACAAAATGTTGCCACTTTACTCCTTTCTACAGAGTTTCATTGACGCCGACCCGTGTGAATGGACACGTTTGGAATGACTGGAGTAAACTGACTGGTTGTTCCAGGTTTCAGGCGAAGGGTAAGGAGAGGTGGGTGAGGGAGTGTCTGAAGAGTCTCCACTGGTGGACTGGACTCGTCAGAACCATGTCAGAAGAAAGAGAGATGTGCGCGTCGGGGTCGATGTGTCAGGTCAGAGAGCTAATTCTGTATGGTGGACTTCAGGCACGCTGCCGCAGTGCCCGCCTCTTGCGGCTGTAATAGTGACGCACCCCGGTCTGTCTGGCAAAGTTCATCATGTAGTTTTGTTTACGGGTGCTGCAGAGGGCAGAAAGACAGTGAAGGAGGGAGGCAAAGAGGAGGAGTGTGAACATTTGTGATGACTTGTTATCTGTAAACACTCCAAACCGTGCATGCAAACACACACTCACACACACACTAGGTCATGCTGGACTCAGCCATAACCTCAAACATTCATCTGCTGTATGAGTCTCTCAGACACAGTGGTCGGTGCTGCTCTACACAACGGAGTTTGTAAAACACAAATGGGAGGCAGGGGGACAGTGGACAGGAAAGAGGGACTACAACCAGTTGTTAGAGGACATGACAGAGGAGACGGAACTGAACAGACATACTATCACAAAAACTACAGGAGAACTCTGAGTGTTTGAGGTCAGAGGTGAAGTCGGGGGACAGACTATTTATACAATATAGTTCAGGGGTGTGAGAAGGTAAGGGGTGGTTTTCAAAAGAAAAGAGACACAGAAGAAGCTTCGGGAGATCGCTCTTGCTTAGCCTGTTCATTGCTCTTCCATCCAGCAGGGCGGTGCCAGTGAGCCAGGAGTACAGCCAGGGCAGGCAGGAGCCTCTGCGAAGCGGGGGGGGGGGGGGAATAGGAAAAGGGGGGGGGGGGGGGGGTGGGGGGGGGGGGAGGGATGCTGGTGTATGTGGGTGGGAGATGGCTTTGGATCTAAAACTGTAAAAGTGAATGGGAGGGATGGATGGTAGTCTGCTGCTGTTGTGTGTAAGTGTGTGAGGAAGCTGGTTTGATTTGAACTGTGAGGAGGAAACTCAGAAACTAACACACATCCAAAAGTAGAAACACCAAACCATGCAGGTGGCTGCACAGCTGTGAATCGAATGGCATCAATAATGATAATATGACATTATTGATAATAGAGTTAGAGTTAGAAATCAATCCTAGATCCACAGATACTACTGATGAACAGACCAGTGTGGGCTCATACAGCCAAAAAAACAAAAAAAAAACAACCAACAACAGTTCCTAACAGTGATAGCAGCTCAAACAATTCATAGAAAACAGGTATAGTGATGGATTACATCACACATACACACACACAAAAACCTCAGAAACGCTGAAATCTGAAGATTAGCAGTATAAATGTCAGTGTAACTGTATAAACTGATTTATCACTGATTCTTCTTGATACATTTGGCAGATGTAGTATTGTTAGAACACTAAAGAAAAAAGAAAAAAAAACTGCCAACAATTATTCTGTGAAGATGTGAATTGATTTGCTTCACGGCCTGAGAGCTGTCTCTCCTGATCTGTGCAGTGATGGTTACATCGGTGAGCCTCCACCTGTGCACTGTGAGCAGCTGGTCTGTTTGCTGACCTGCCTGGCGCTCATGGAAATGACTGTGGCAGTAATGAGGAGGGGGAGAGTGTGCTCTGCTTAAACGGGGGGGTTGGGAGTAGGGTAGAGGAGGGGGCTGCATTCAGAAAGTGGCGGGGAACTTACCTGACACTACAGCCATGCCAGAGGGAGCAGAATACAGAAGAGAGCAGAGGTTAGAGCGCGAGAGGGGAGAGGTAGGAGGAGGAGGGAACTGCTGTCTTTCAGAAAGGTCTGAGGGGGGGTGAGCCTTGGCCTGGGAAGGCAGGGGCCCGAAGTAGGACGGAAGGAAAAAGGAGAAGGTAGAAAGGAGGTCAGGAATCCAACGTTAAAATGAAAATTAGTGGGAAAAGGAGAAGGTGGAGTAAAATGAAAAAGATCAAGGGTTTTTTGGTAGAGAGTTAAGCAGAAGAAATAATGGTTAGGTGAAGGTAAACGTTAGCAGCTGATTTAAGAAAAATGAAACATTAAACAGGAAACAGGATTCACAAAAGGGTAAGAAGGAGAAGAAAAGAGAGGATAATGGAAGGTAGGATGTTCTGTGACACAGGCAGAGGAAGAGGTGAGGGGGGCAGGACCACATGGTTAAAAACATCAGGAAAGAAAAGGAGTGGGGAGGAAAAAGAAAAATGAGGGGGAGAGTAAGGGTTCGAGGGTCATGGTCTGACGGATTGGTGAGCAGAGAGCAACCGACAACAGAGCAAAGTGTGAGCATCACGGTTACTCTTTTCAGCAGACACTGTTGAAATCCGTGAACGGTGAACAGGGAAGTGGGAGTGGTCATGGACTAGAGAACAGGGACAGGGACAGGGTTCAGTGCTACTGTGCGATTGATGTTTATGTGACTGAACATGAAGTACCGGCGTGCCTTCAATGACTGTTGTAAGCAGCATTTGAAATGCATCGGGTTGTGAATGGACACTTGGTGCTCATGTCAGAGGGAACATTGCTCTGATGTCCACAGTCACATGCAGAGAATGTTCAATGGTACTGTGGCTGAGGCCTTCGTCATATCTTCAGTGCCCTACAGAATTCCTTGAATTAAAGTTTTAGTACCTAGTTCCTGGTATTTGAAAACTGACTTCCTCCTGTGAGATTGTGCCGTCAGCTGCAGTAGTTGCTAAAGTGCAAGAGAAATACTGGAAGTCAAAAAAGATTGTAACTAAACCCACTACCTGGGTTTAGCAAGTTTAAATTAAAGGTAGCTTTTCTGACTCTGGTTATTGTAGAGGAGTAATAACTCACCAAATAGAACAAGTTGGTAACACAACAATGTCAAATGGCTTTTCAGGTAGAGAAGAATCCTACAGAGCAGTTATAGCAGCTTTGTTAAGGTAGTATATTCTACATTCCACCTTTACTTTTAGACATTATAAACATTTTTTAGACACTTCCCTGCTTTGTCAGAGACAAACCCAACAATAATGGCTACAGTCAAATAGCAATATCACAATATAGCATCAGTTATCAATATGGCATCAGAGTGACGAGCCAGTCGACCTATGTTGTTGACACTGGTCAACCAACAACATGTTCCCTGCTTTGTCAGAGACAAACCCAACAATAATGGCTACAGTAAAATAGCAATATCACAATATAGCATCAGTTATCAATATGGCATCAGAGTGACGAGCCAGTCGACCTATGTTGTTGACACTGGTCAATAAAACTGTTGCCCATATGTCTCTGTAAACCAAAGACATTTTTTCTAAAGACATTCTGAACTATGAAGAAGAAACCCAATGTTTCTGGCTATAATCTATAATTGAAAGTCGATAGTGAAAATTGAAATCTAACACCATAAATAAAAACTTGACCAGGTGCTTTGGGTGTAAACAGTGACAAACAAGAAATGATCAATTCTGCAAGACACTGAAAATATGATCAAATAGTAGGCAATGAACTGTCATACACAGAGCAGCCATCAACAAACAGATCCCTGTGGATGTGACACACACAGCTGTCTTTGGCATTATTCACTGTTTAGTGAGTCCCGGTCATTGTTGTTGTGCAGACCCTTGAAATGTGCCTGTGGTAGTTTACTGTCTGTGCAGCTTCTCTGTGTTTGTGTGGAGCAGAGGGGACCGTTTTTTTGTCTTACAGATGAAGCTGGGGAAGAAGTAGAGACAAGGGCAGAACATGGCTCTGTTGGGGCCAGTCTACGGGGCCAGAGGCAGGCTGGGAATTGAGTACTCACAGAACAACTTCCACATGGTCCAATGCCCATTGGTCATGTCCTGCACCGTCATGACGTGGCTGCCACCACCGCAGCATCACACCCTTGACCCTTGCCTCTCTGGAGAGACGGTGGAAACATTTCAGGGTCAGTGCAGCTCAGTAGATACGTCAGTTATTACATTAGTATATTTACAGGGTCATTCTCTGTCTCAGCAAACTCCCAGGTTATATTACTGGTGAACAAATACAAAAAATATCTGGATCTGTGAATATAGACTGTGTCACTGAAGGAAGATGTCATTCAAATGTCTGTGTGACTCACAGGGGGATGTTGTAGGAGACTCTCTGGGCTTTTATGAAGTCCTTGGGCTGGTGCTGAGCGATTACATGCCAACTGACTCCATTGTTGACACTATACTGCAGGAGCACAGCTCTGTCGACTGTGTTAGCCTGATCCAGAGCTATATTACAGCTGTCTGTCTGGGCCGTGCTGCCAATCTGCAGCACGAACATGATCTTACTGCAGGAAGAAGAAAAAAAGAAAGGAAAGAAATGACTAATAATACAGATCTGAGTGGTCCAGATAATTTAGCTAAGATCGTACTACAGTAGTTTGTACCGGGGATGTTTTGGTAGTACCTGTACCTGGCTCTAGTGAGGTCCAGCGGTTTAGTAACTGCCTGCCTCATCCTACAGCCATTGAAGTAGAGCGAGTCCCCGTGGGCATGTGGTGACAGCTGCCCACAGCCGCTGCCTACTCCACCACCCTGGATCAGCTGCCAGCTCTGCTGAGACACACTGCCGGACTCAAAATTGTCCTTGATGGAGCTGGGCAGGTCAGTGTTGGAGAGGGAGCAGTCATCACCTGTACGGAGACACAGGAGACAGGGTTGTTTTTTACACTTTACCAATAAAACCACTGCTGGACAGTAGTAGAGGTGTGATTTGAATTATTTGAGGAGTGGTTTTAATATGATTTTCTGGTTCTGGCCCACCATGGTATCCCTCATCACAGATGCAGACCACTCCACTTGTACAGTAACCATGGCCACTGCAGAGCCTGGGACAGGCCTCTCCAATATAAACATGGTCCACTCCCCAGCTCTGCCTCTCTCCTGTTCCCTCTTTTTGAATCCAGCGGAACTGGGTTGCCCTGGTTATATAGACAGAGTAGACATGACATGAATGAGTATACGACATACTGTATAGTATAAGACATCAATAAAGTAAGGTGTAGCTGTACCCTGAGGAGACATGGTCTGGTAGCTGGACAGTGACCCTGGTCCATGATGAGCTGTTCACTGGACTGTAGATTGTGGACTCATGGAACTGGAAAGGAGAGCAGCCCACGTTGTTGACTGATGACGGGAGACACTCTGACTGGACCAACTGCCATGAATCAGACCTGTTGAGGACAAAAAACATTCAATATAAAATAACACATAGCACTAGTGCTGAGCCATATAAGTCAAAGAAAGAAGACAGTTGGCGACAAAGACAAAACGTGTCTCTGTTAGGAATTTTGACACAGCTACTCTGACACAAATGTTCCTACTGTTTTGTGTTTTTTACATTTCTTTGGAGATTCTACATATTACTTAAATGTTGACTATATTGGAGATAATAACATATTATTTAACATATTAACTACATATTACTTAAATGTTGACTATATATCATTGTTATCAAAAATAACATATAGCTATATATATATATATAAATATATATATAATAAAAAGTACATTATACATATACAGCCAGATGTATCAATTTGTGATGGAGAGAGTTGTATGAAGCAATCAAAAAAAGCAAATGCTCCTTCATTAAAAAATACACGGCTTGACTTTTGTATTGACATACAGTATGCAGATTCACAATTAACACCTGCTCTACTCACAACCACACACACACACAATCTCTGCAACACTGACACACGGTTATTTTCCTAATCAAGGTTTGTAAAGTCAAAATACAACTTTTAATTCAGTTGATTTTAGTATTTCCTTAAAATGTTAAAATGTTCTACATGTTCAGTGCCCCGTCTGAGCCACAGTCCCTCAGGCCGCAGCTTCAGTCCATTCAGTGTACTGCAGCTGTTGTTTTAATTTCATTTGAATTCATCTCTCTCCGTGTTCCTACCTGGCGTCCTTTCTGTACTGCAGCAGAACAGAATGACGATCTTCACAGGTGTCGGCCTCACACCCCACAACAATCTGCAGCACAAAGGAGAAAGGTGTTCAAAACTGAAGCCACAGTGAATGAAACAACCAACCCTGTGTGTGGGGCTCCCTGGCAGAAAGTATACCTTGAACTGAAGAATATAACCTGGCTGCACAATCAGCTCCCGAGTGGCCAGGATGTTGTGTGTCCTGTCCTGGTTCTTGTTTGGCCAGTACAAGTGGAATGAAGGGTTTCCACAGAAACCAGCCGTGCGCACAGCGTTAGGATAGAAGCTCCAGCTCTCCTCGTGAGAAACGCCCTCTGGACGACAGCCAACACAAAAGGAGGAAGAGTCCAAGTCATTTCCAAATAATTTTTTTTTTTTTTTGCCCTATGCTTAATTTATGACCACGGCCACACACTCACCGTCATCGAAGGTGTCCAGCAGTGTGGATGGATTGATGTCTGACCCACCCACCAGGATGTTATCTATAGCCCACTGGGCTCTCTCCAAGCTGGGGCTGGCAAGGCCAGAGGAAATGGTAAATGGCTGCCACCAGCGTAGACGAGTAGCATTAGTGAGTGCTCCCTCTGGGAGGACAATATAGTCTCTCCTCACTGACACATACTTGAGGTAGTCCATCTCATGCAGCAGTGTCCAGGACACACCTGGGGAGAAAACAATAAAAATATGATGAAAAACTTGATGTTAGAAAAGTAAAAAAGAAAATGCAGCTGTACTGTTGTTAGCACCTCCATCTGTAGAGTAATCAAGGAGCACGCCCTCTTTGCGACACGTTGGCCGATGACACATGGTCATGTTATCTTCACTTCCAATCCTGGCCCAGTACTCCACAAACCTACAAAACACATATGAATGATATTTGTGAAGAAACACAGAAATTAAGGAGGAAAAAATAGAGCTGTTAAATTTCATAAATTATTAAATAATTATTGATTAATTATGATTATAATCAATCAGGAGTGATCATAAATATTCAAGATGACTCAACATTACTTAATATGACAACACATTATTTGTATATTGCTGGATCATACATAAGAATATATGATTTGACGTTTGTTATTTTCACTCTGACGTCCGCTAGAGGGCACTCTAGGCTTGTGCACTAGTATCTGCTATTCCTGCAAATTGCACTTTTTTTCATCCTTTGGTGTGAGCGACTTATAGTCTGGAAAATGCGGTAATCCAAAAAAAATCTGGAAAAATGTCAAGACAACAACTATAAATTTAGCTTTAAAAAGTTGGTGGATTTTAGTCATTGCTGTGCAACTTGATGGGGGCAACGCCTTGCTTTCAAAACCTCAGTGAAGTCGTTGTCCTCAACAACATCAATCAGATGACAGTTCCAGGAAATCCAGTGGACAGTTGTATCAATCAGCCTGTCAGCCGTGCACTTACTGTCTGCCCTGTGCTCACTGAGGCTGGACTGACATAAGCAGAAGTTGTCCACATTTACATACGAGAAGGTGAGAAGGTATTTTAAGTTTGAAGTGTGTAACTAACACACACTAAAAGTAGTAACTGTGTATTGGAGCATCAATAAGTACATGGATGGTAGAATTATTGAATAGCATTATATAATAGCAGCATTCTACCCATGAGTTTTGAGGATTTCACATTTTTATCTGTTTAATTTCATCAATGAATTAACACTTAAGCTGTTTTAACATTTCCAACAAATATGGACTAACTTGGCTCCACGAAGGTCTAAATCAGTTGTGACGGCTTGTCTGGCATCAGCTCCACCAAAGTACAGGGCGGTTCCTTCCACTAACACACCACAGTCAGTGCAGGGACGACCGCCTTCCAGCACCTGCCACTGTTGTCCAGCTGAGCCGTCCCAGTCGAAACGCTCCTTCAGAGATGCCTACAGAATACGACCCGAAGATTACTGCATAGAACTGAAGCACATAGAACATTTGACATTGAGGAGCCAGGTGTATTTACCTTTAATGCAGTGCTGGGGTAGCAGTTTGGTCCAGTGAATCCTGGGTCGCAGAGACAGCGCTTGTCCAGACAGTCCCCGTGTCCCCCACAGTGGCTGTTGCATGCTGGTCCGATGTAGAAATTCTCCACTGCCCACTGGGTGTCTGAGTGCTGCTGATAAAATCGGAAGCGCACCGCACTGGGGCACAGAGAGGGAAATTATATTTGAAATCGACATCACCTCACCACAATCCTGATTTATATTTGGTTATCAATAACTCATTAAAAATCAGTAATTATGTTGAGCTTGCAACAGGACACACCGTTTGGCCATGAGATAAATCAAAACAAAATGGGCTCACGTGTCAGCGAGGCTGTCGGGCAGAGGATACACTGCCCTCTTCCAGGATTCAGAGGGGAAAAAGACTGATGGCTGTGAGACCTGACCACTACAGCGGGGGTCAGCAGGGAGGCACTGGGGCACCAGGTATTTCCACGTCACTCCGTAATCCACTGAATACTGAGCGTGTACTTGGCGGTCTGCAGGGCGTTCAGACACACTGCAGCCTACAGAGATCTAGATAGGACAGGTTTGTTTAACCACGATAAATATATACAACAACTGTTTGTTTATATGACAGCACAGAACACATTTTAACTAAAGTACTAAACAAGGTTTGTACCTTAAACTGCATGACCCAGCCCTTTTCAGGGATAATGTCATGTGTGACTGCGTACACCTCTCTTCCATCAGTATTTCCACACACCATCACCCCATCTGGAGAGCTGCAGAACCGCTGCACTGAGCAGTCCTCTGAAAACAACCAGTGGTCGCTGACTAAAAAAGGGGAAAAATGCATTTTTTCAATGCATTATTTTTTTTAATGTTTTGCCATATTAATTCTTTATTTAGTCTTGTCATACCAATAGGTGCCTCCTCCTGCTCAGTCTGGTCCCCTACTCTCCCTGAGGTCTCATCAGCAGGAGCTCTCTCATGGTTGGGCAGTGCCACTCCTCCAAAAGTGTCAGAGATCTGTGCCCGTGGGTCAGAGCCTGCTATAAGGACATTATCCAGTGCCCAGTCACTGTGATCTGCTCCATCGTGCTGTGGCTGCCACCAACGCACACGCACTCCTTCCTGCCGGGCTGCAGAGGGCAGCAGTACATTCACAAACCTGGAGACAAATGACACAGTGTTTGCCTTAGTCAGTGTTTGCCTCACCTGTCTGCACTCACTGTAGTTAGGTTTTACACCGGAGAAAACAAGACTCACCCAGGCTTTGTGTACAGGTCGTAGAAGATTTCCGTCAGCAGGTGCCAGTTAATGCCACCATTTAAGGTGTACTCCAGGAGAACGCCCTGGTTACGGTTGCTTGGGGGGATCATGCAGCCGTACATGAAGTAGAACTGGATGAATTCAGCATTGGTCAGGTTCAGGTCCACTGTCACCAACTGACGACTACAACTCTGTGCACAGAAGTAAAAAATACATATGAGGTCAAACTTAATAGATCTTTTATCCTACTATGTATGTGTAATAATATTACAATAGCATCATAATGATTATAGATATTTTGTTTGATGTTAATATTTATATTTATAGTATTATTTATTTATTTATTTATTGAGTTGCTCCGCTGTGTTAAAACTCAAAGCATTGTCCACTCTAAACTGTTAATCCAGTTTGGTCGACAATTTAAGACTTTTTAAATATTTTTACACCCATATCCTAGACGTTTGCATCTTTGTAGGTCATTGTTTTGATGAACTGTTTCATTTTTGTGATGTTGCTTAAAATATCATCTTATCACTGAACGTGTGATTTATCTCTGGGGCCATCTCAGATGAGCTTGACCAAAGACTACAACAGTGATCCATGGTTCCCACTACATTCCTCAGCAGCCATTTGTAATCAGTGGGGAAATGTGTTAAGTAACAATTCCTTAAATTAGTCCAGTGTTATTTATTCTATATGAAAAGCGAGGAGGGCCATGTAGTTTATCAATATCCAGATCACTCTGCCAAAGGATATCCATTTCACATACTGTCCTCTAGTAAGTGCCTTGGGAAAATTTAAGCTGCAGATGAAGGCTGATAGCTGCTCACTTCATGGTGTTTTATTCAACAAATCAATATTTGACTAAGTGACACCTTGGCTCTGCTAAAGCGTGTATTTTCCAGTTTATACTATATGCCTTTCACTATCAAGAGTTTGCCAGTATAACTGCGGACTGACTGGTGACTTTGCTAACCTTTGCTATGATGCTAATCCACACATACACTGTAACTTACACCACTAAAGTGCAGCGCAGCTCCAGAGGCCACGGCTCCACACACACTGCTGAGCTTTCCTCCTGTTAGCAGGTGCCAGTGGCTGTTTGAGGGAGCTCGGCTGAAACTGTCCTTCAGCTGAGAGGGCAAAGAGACCACTGGCTCGTCACAGTACTCTCCACCCCACTCTGGGTCACACCTGGTGGAGATGGACAAAAATGCTCAAACATTCAGTTAAGTTAAACCGGGGGTGGCCAAACTGTTCCACGAAGGGCCGCTGTGGCTGCAGGTTTTTGTTCCAACCAAGCAGTAGCACACCTGAGTTGACAGGTTTAATCAACTGACCTCAGTCTTCAGACAGTTGATTGGTCAAACTATGTGCTCTTGGTTGGTTAGAACAAAAACCTGCAGCCACACAGCCCCTTGAGGAACAGTTTGGAGTTAAACCAACCAAGTATATATAGATGGGAGTATCAGAAAATGAGATGTACTGAGCAGCGCTGATTTTTTCATGATTATTAAAAGGCAACATATTTAACCCAGGTTAATTTTGATGAATGTATAGTGTAATTTAACCACATACAAAGTTTTATAGGCGATATTAACTTCAAACATATCACATTTCATCATTTTTTGTTATTGGGCTTGTACCAGGACCAGGGTAACCACCTCATGTTTTTAACATGTGTTGAAATGAGAATAAAACTCCTTTTTTAGTGTGCAACAGACTGCAGTTACTTACACACAGGAGCTCTGTTGACAGCGGCCATGTCCGGAGCACATGTCGGGGCAGCCATCTCCAATGTAGAGATTATCCATGGCCCAGGTTTGCTGCTTGTCAAAGGGAGCGGGCTGGAACCATCTGAACCTCGTGGCTGGAGACCTTAAGAAGACATCGTGTTAACGGTATTGTAATCGGACATCAACATGGGGTTGTACTTTACACAGCTACTCTGTCATTTCATTGCAAGTGAAATACATGGCAGTGCTGACCTGACGTACGATGGGAGGGGCAGAGTAATCCGTCCCCACTTGTTGTATGTGTCAGACACCAGCAGCCTCTGCAGAGTGTAGGAGGAACAGTCTGGGCTGGTGGGCAGACAGTCTCTGACCACAGGCTGCCAGGTGAGTCCCAGGTCCAGAGAGTACTCCAACTCTACAGCTACAGAGACAAAAGAGAAGGAAAACTATCAACAAACTAACTAACACACCAAAAGTTTATTTTTTATTTTTTATTATGACAAAAAGTAGGCTCTACTTACAGTAGCAGGAGTTGGTGACAGAGCAGGAGGCTGAAAAGTCAAACTGGATGAAAGCATCTTGTCCCAAACTGATGTCAGTGGTCACAGCGTAGCGAGTGTTGGACTTCTCTATGAAAGCAAAGGCCGGTCCATCAGAGCCACAGACAGGCATGCGGGTTCCTCCAGGGTGAAGGAGCCAGGAGCGGCCATCGATTGAGGAGAAGTCGTCTTCCAGAGGTCCCCATCCGCTTGCACTGCCCCCTACCACCACCTGTGTGATAGAAGGTGTGTAGATAACTTGGTTGCATGGAGAAAGAAATGAACTGCAAACGTCATTGTTTGAACTATAATAAGGAAATGTACTTGATTAAAATAATAGTTCGAACTACCTGGTCAATGACCCATGGACTGTAAAAGTGTCCGTTCTCAGAAGGCTGCCACCAGCGGAAGCGGGTGGAGGAAGTGCGGGCACGTAGTGGAATTTCCAGAGCCACCAGGCGAGCCTGATTACTGCTGTTGCTAAAGAGAAATTCCTGGAGGAGTCCCCAGGTAAGGCCTCCGTCTACAGAGAACTGCAGCAGAACTGGCTGGGAGCGTGGGTCTGGAGATGCCTTACCACAACCAAGACGAAGGAAGAACTGAACAAACCTACACAGAACATACGCAGAACAAGAATTACTTCCTGGATTGTAACAGAAAACTACAAAGGTGACATTGCTTATGTTATTGTAACACTATACCTGGCATTTGAAAGGTCCATGTCAGTGGTCACCAACATTCGCAGACCATCTTCACTGAAGAACAAGTGGTTCCCACTTGACATGATGCCACACTTTCTGGATGGTTTACCTCCGCTAAGTTGTTTGAAGTTCTCAGAGTTCACAGGTCCTCCTTAAATAACACAAAGCAAACATCAGCAAAACACAACACCAAAATCACTGAAAACCTGTCCAGTATTATAGAATTCAAGTTAAAATGGTGTGATTTTTACCTTCAAAGTCCTCTTTGAGGAAATCAGGGTTGGGCGTGTCAGGTACAGAGCAGTCTGCTCCAGAGTAGCCGGGGTCACAATCACAGTGGGTGCCACCCACACAGGCACCGTGACCATTACACATGTCCTGACACTGTGGGCCTATGTAGATGTTGTCCAGAGCCCATGTTGGTGGAGCTGAATCAGCCGAGAAGAAGCCCTGGTACCAGCGGAACCTCACAGAGCTGTATGGAAAATAAAATCCTCCATTAGTGAGAGAGTTCAGTTTTATGGTCGTTTATTTTTGTGGAGCGGTCCTTACCCACAGAGATGAAGTTTTCCAAAGTGAATGACCTCCCTTCTCCAGCCGTGTGTTGTGCCAGGGAAATAGATGCTCGCAGGGTGAAGTTCGGTGGAGCACAGTGAGGAGGGCTGGGGGCCTCCGGCACAAAGAGGCACCAGGAGGTGCCACGTGGCACCAAAGTCCCGTGAGAACTCGAGACGCACTGGATGGGCAGAGGAGCTTTCGGCTGTGCAACCCACATTAATCTAGAGACACAGCGATGCACACACACATCAAGATGAAGAGCTGCAGTGTGTGTCCACAGTGATCTACCTTTTGACTGTTCCTGGAAAAATAAGTCATTAAGGGGCGGGGTTTTCATACCTGAAACTGAACGATAGTATTCTCATTCACTTCAATGTCCCTGGTGGTAAGAGAGTGCTCTCCACGCTCACTGGAGACAAACACCATGGCAGACTCGTCCTCTTCTCTGCACCAGCCAAAAACACATGGTTTATCATACTGTATGTGAATTGTGACTCAAGGTTAAGTAGAACATGAGGCAAACTTCCAAAGTCAAGAACGTTCTGTCTTACAGGCCAGTCTTGTGGTAAGGGCAGTAGAGGCCAGTGTTTCCCCCGGGGAAGAACAGCCAGTTGGACTCATTAGGGCCTTCATCAAAGCTGTCTATCACCACTGGTGGGTTGTGTAGAGAACTGCCATCTATGATGAGATCATCTATCACCCACACTTCCTCTTTTTTACCTGAAGGGAATAATATTGTGGTGGTTACAATGTGACAGGAATGTCGTCTAAAATTAGCTGTCGCTGTCGCTGAAGATTCAATTATGTTTCAGTGTTTCAAAAACCAAAGACAGAAAGACAGTGAGACAGACAAAATAATGAAAAGTCAGATTATTGTGCGCATCGTGTCCGTCCCCTCACCGCTGTTGTACGGCTGCCAGAGTCTGAAGCGAGTGGCATTATTTTGAGCACTGGCTGGCAGCGGCAGGTGGAGGAACAGAGTGTCGGTGGAAGCTGGAAAGTAAAATTCATCCAACAGTAGCCAGCTGATGCCTCCGTTCACTGAGTACTGCAGGAGCACAGAGTGGGAGCGCTCTGGGATACCTACAACAACACAATTGTACCATATACCATTCAGATACAGGGTAAAATGAATGCAAAATGAGTGTATTTGGATGTAGTCCAAGACTTGCCTTTAGTGATGAATTTAAAGGAAAACTGAATATAAAGAGTGTTGGTGCAGTCCAGATCCCGTGACACTATCATCCTCAGACCATCCTGTTGACAGACAGACAAGTTTTGCTCATTGGTCAGAGATCTAGAAAATCAACTTATGTTTCAGTGGTTTCCATGGTCCCGTACCCCTTTGAAGATGAGGGCGGTGCCCGATTTAAGAGGTTCTCCGCTAAGAGTTCCCCTCTCGGCACCATACACCTCAGGCCACGTCTCCTGTAGTAAGTTCTCATTAAAGTCTTCTCTTAGTACAGAGGGCAGAGGAGATAACGGCACACAGTGGTGTCCTCCATAACCCTTGTCGCACCTGTGCAGTGGGAAAGAAAAGGTGATGAATCAGCACGTTTACCATCAAATAGAGACATACTCCAAGTCTACCATCAAATCATCAACTTACACACAACGTCCGTTGTCACACAAACCATGTCCAGAGCACATCCAGGGACAGCCGGGTGCCAGTAAAACATTGTCCAAAGCCCATCCTTCTGCCCCTGGAGTGAAGTGGGTCTGGATCCAACGGAACCGAGTTCTAGGAGAACTGAAGGATTCATGTTGCAAAGAAAGAGAAGGTCTCAGCATCTGTGTGCTTCAGTAAGTCAATATTAAATATGTGTAATTTGGGGATTTGAAAAGAAAACATACTTTGCAGCACTTGGCAGGTACACAGTGATCCTTCTCCAGTGTTTGTACTGGGTAGAGGTGTAGATAGAACTCTGAGTGTAGCCCGCACACCCGATAGCTGGGGGCACACACTCTGGAGTAATTAGAGACCAGTGACGACCGCAGTCTGTGGAAAACTCCAGCCGAACACCATGGGAGAATGAAGAGGACTTGCTGCAGCCCATACTCAGCTCAAACTGCAGAAATGAGGAGCCTGAAATCTCAAAGTCCCAGCTCTCTGCATACCTGGGCTTTTCTGCAAAAGATTTGTTTTACAACAAATGAACAAATGAAGACATCGGTGTCAGTCTTTAATTTGCTTTTAACAGCAATAAAAAGACCGTTCACAACACACAGAAAACACACATTCGGAAACTGTTGCAGTTCTCACATGAACCAGAGCAGAAAAGATCTGGAAACAAAAACAAACTATTTTAAATCTGAATATTTTCATTTAATCTCTTTTTTTGTGTGTGACTAAATGGAACCAGTTATTTGGAAAATTGAACTTTCTTATGAGTTTACACCAGCAAAAAAGCATCTGCATTGTGCAAAGTGCAGGCAAATATATTGTTATTGCGCTCTCTTTCAAAATACCGTTACTTGTTATAAAAGTGAGGACACACTCATTCTTTAATTAATTATTGAATTTTGCACATAACAATGTATTATTGTTTTTGGTACAACTGTACCAGAGAGCTGTTGTATTACGATGGAATCTTTGTTTTTCACCGTGGCAAACGATCAATGCTTTATGAGTAAATAGGAGGCACGTGGGGGATTTCATGTTAATGATAACACGCTGCCAAGTTGCCACTGGTTTGCATGTTTAACAAATGGGCTCAGTTGTAATGTAATATTTGTGCAAAGTCAATCTGCTCCCAGCTTGATGCAGGCACAAATAAGAGGCAGGATGTTCAATCAGCACAGCTCTCATTAATAATGCAGGACCCACAGCACCACCGTGAATGTGGTGATTCAATTTCAGCCTGCTATACTGCCATACATCTATGCAGCGAGTGAATACAAAGTACGCAACTGTGTACTGTGAAGTGTCTATCCGCACATTATCCTTATGAATATTATATTTGTACTGTGTGTTTCCTTTATGTATAGGACATTGTCTGTAGTATTATAGCCGTGTACTGTTTCATGGAATCATATTCAGCCACTGTGCTCACTGACTGAAGCACTCGGGTGTGAAGTGTCTTCAGTCAGTGGCCACTTGACAGTCATTGTTAAGGTAGTATTTATTTTCCAAACATACAATTTCCCAGCATGCCCAGGAATGAACAGTTTCAAATCCAATTCTGTCCTAGTCTCACAGAGCAGTGTCACCAAGTGCCTTTTAAAGGTATTGCGTGTGACTTACTATCAATGGCCTCCGAGTTGAAGGTAAGGGCTGTGTCCAAGGACAGACAGTCCACAGTTACCTCTCCGCCCTGAATTCGGTACCAGTTGTGCCTCAGAGGAGTTGAACCATCAAACTTGTCATGAAACCCTGTTCTTGAGCTGTCATTCATACCAATCAGGACATCATCCAGAGCCCACTGAGCAGAATGTTTTCCTATTGAAAAAAAACAACAGAGGTTTTCTGTTGAAGTATGGATCCTACTTTAAAGTCTTCCACCAAAACTATGGACTCACCCTGCTGTGGCTGCCACCAGCGAAACACTGTGTACGGGGTTTTGGCTGCAGGTGGGAGCTCAATAGTCACCACTTGGGTCTCCAAGAAGGAACTAAAGTCTAACTCTCTCAGGAACTGCCACTGGACACCGTTGTTGGTAGAAAACTGGACGATAACACCTAGAATTACAGAATAAAGAGGTTCTCAGGAAGACGATGTTAAACATGAGCTGCAGACGTGAGATCAAGGATCTGCTGACAGTTGAACAGAAAAAAAACTAACGATGCTACACTTTGATTCTTAACAGGAATCAAACTGTGACTGTGAGGATATGGTGCTTCGCAGTCTGTGTTTGATCACAAGGCTGATCAAAGGCCTAGAGCAAAATGTGGCAGATGTAAAAAAGCCTGTCTGGAAAATAAGCTGCTCTCTACAGATTCTGCCGTTCAGTTATGTTTAATGTTGTGTTACCTTCATTGCGGGAGCGAGGTCTTGTGCACGTTGGTCCCAAACTTTTGCTGCCAATGCGGATGTAGAACTGGACCAACCTGTGTGAGTACAGTGAGTGCTGAGTACTAAGTAAAAAAAAACCGAACGGGACTCTGACGTCTGCATTTACATACAAGAATCAAAGCTGTAAATCCCACGCACCGTGTGTTGGTGGTGTCGAGAGGCATCGTTCGAGCTTCTCTCCTTCCAGGACTATTGAAGTACAGGCCTTTCCCCTCACCAATGATTCCACAGCCACCTCCAACTAGTCCACCACTAAGACTCTGCCAAAGAGGACTCAGCTTCCCCTCAAAGCCTTCAGTCAACTCTGTGGGACTGGCCACAGCTGGAACACAACTGTCCTGCTCCACTATACGGGAAAATAGGAAACATAAATTAGACATGAAGGATTTTTCCTTTCAAATTAGAAGGCTGTTGGAGATGATTTTTTTTTTTTTAAATATTAGTACTGAACCTGTGTATCCCATATCACAGAAGCAGACCCCAGAGATGCAATCTCCATGTCCCCCACAGTGATTTGGACAAGGCTCAGAAATGTAGACCCCGTCCAAAGCAAATGCTGGAGCATCTCTGTACAAGCTGCTCTCCTGGAACCAGCGGAATCTGGTTTTACTGTTCAAATAAAAGGGAGAGGCATCAGTGAAAGGGATGGACCCAACTGGATTTTGAGTTGAGTTGTTGATACAAATGTGAATCATCTGCTGATAAAAGGGTCACAATTTTATTGAATCTTTTATTCTATTCATAGCAATGGCATGCTTGTTACCATAGCTACCTGGCTGCAACGTTGCGTGGGATGACCACAGTGATCCTGGTCCATTGTTCATAGTCTCCAGTGTTGTAGACAGTGGGCTCTCGAAGCTCGCGCCCACTGCCCTCACACACACCAGCCCCAGGGGATCCTGGGTAACAACCCTCTCTTACCAGGGCCCAGGTTCGACCAGCATCATGGGAGTACTGCAGCAGTACTGGAGCAGACGCACTAAACTCTGACTCACAGCCAATGTTCAACTGATTGAAGACAAACATATGAGTGAGTGGAACTCTGTGACCATTTTTGAAAACAACATGTTTAAAACAATCTTTCATGGAAGTACCTTAAACTGCAGAGTGTAGCCAGCACGCAGGGCCAAGTCCCTGGTGACGGCCACCCTGTCTCCATCAGAACGGCCAAACACCATGGCTGAGGGCGTCGGGGCACAGAAGCTGTTGTTACTTTCCTTTTCCATGCCTTCATTGCCAAGCATGAGCCACACGCTCATCTGGTTCAAAGGGTAGTCAAATGCTGGCTTCTCATAAAAATTCTACATTGAAAGAAAGCAGAGCTTTTACAGTGACACAAGCAGAGAATGTTACCTGTAAAACCAACAGATCTACTAACACACATCTACTCTACAGCATGTGCCAGTGATGACAAGACGACTCTAAAGAATGAGGTCTCAGAGAAACAGCAAACTGACCTGTGGTAAAGTAGGATTGACCATGGGTATGATATGTTTTTCCCTTTCGGACAGAATGATGACATCATCAATCGCCCATTGGTCGTAGCCCTCCCCGGAGTGGAGAGGCTGCCACCAGCGAAACCTTGTGGACGGCGTCTTGGAGGCCAGAGGAAGCTCGTAATGGACGAAGCTGTAAGAGCAGTAAAAGAGTGAGAGGAAAGCCAACGTTCAAATATCTACAGCACATCATGTGTCAATATGTGAAGAATCATTTGAATCTTTCCCTTTCTCTCACAGTTTCTCACCGAGGCTTAGTGAAATCTGTGAAGTACATCTCAGCAATCAGACCCCAGCTGATCCCACCATCATTGCTGTACTGCAACAGAACGCCCTCCTCTCTGCTGTCGGCCTGGTTACACTCAGCCCAGTCTCCACCCACTCGTAGATAGAACTGCACAAATTCTGCCCATTCAGTGTCCAGGTCCCAGCTCACCAACTGCCTCAGCCCAGCCTGAATGGAGAGAGGATTATGTTCTATGTTATTTGACATTTTAATCTATTCACAAACAAAGATGAGTTTGTATTTACATTTCCAAAACATTTTTTTAGCAGTTAGCTACATTGTTAATATTAAAAATTATCAGGAGCTTAACTGATATTTGAATAGTCCGATAATCATGATTAGGGATGTCCAATATTAACTTTTTGCTGATTTCTGATAGGCCGAAATTGTCCAAACACCGATATCAACCAATACTGATATAAGCCTGGTAATATTAATTTATTTATCTGTACAAACCAGTACGAGTATGGGTATGAGATTAATTAAAAGAGCTGCAATGCTGCCATCTAGTGACTTTCACTTTAATATACAGCCGTTTATCCCCAAAACTATTTTAGGGTACATAATATGCTAATATCGGGCATCTCTAATCATAATTAATTGTGATTAATCGTGAACAAAAAATAATCATGACAAATCATAACTTATGTTTGAGCTGTTGCTCAAACTACCTTGCTAAAGTACAAAGATGACCCAGATGAGACGACTCCACAGCCCATGTGAGGACTGACCACCTCTCCACCAATCACTTCTTGCCAGGTAGCCAGCAGTAAATTCTGGGACTCAAAGTCAGAGAGAACGCTGGAGGACAGGGACGACGAGGGCTGGCAGTCTGTTCCTGAGAAGCCATCATCACACCTATATGAGGGAAGACAGTGCTTTGGATTTATCCCTGATTTATATGGATCCCAGGAAGACATCAGACGTTATTTATAGGTTTAAGTGTTAAGGTCAAAGTAATAAACAACAACCGCAGACGTACGCGCGCGTGTGTGTGTGTGTGTTTGTTGTTTGTGTAAATGCTGACCTGTTGTGTCCGTGATCACACCAGCCATGTCCATGGCACATGTTGGGACACTGTTGACCGATGTAGATGTCATCAAGGGCCCACTCATCCTGCTCTCCATAGTAGTTCTGGATCCAACGGAAGCGTGTGGCACTGGACCTGAATGCAGAGAAAACACACGCACATTAACACACACACACACTAAGTTCAACTTCAATTTGTTTGTAATTGTGTGCAATGTGGGCACATTTTTGTCTTAGCAGAATATGTGTGTGCGCTTGTCAGTGTGACGGTGTACTGCATGTGCGTGGTGATAAATAGTGCTGGAAGTGTAGAGGTTGTATATGGGTTTAAAGGTTATGTGCTGCTGCTGCAGGGGAATTCATATTAACTCACACCGACACCTGGACATATTGGGCTTAGCTGTGACATTTTTATTATCATTTACTGCCATGACCCTTTGACCTCTAGTCTAGCCCAGCATGCAATTTGATCACCTTTATTAAAAAGCTGGGGAATGGGATGAAATGGAGGTAGAGGTCACATTATTATTATTTTTTATTTTTTTAATAAATGTCTGGAATACTCAGTATACTTTATACTATATATATTTATATTTCTGAAAAATTGTCAGATGAAAATGTTTAACAGTCAACTTAGGTGTTGAGGATGAATTGATTTTAATTTGTATTCACACAGGCAGAACAACAACAACTGTTTTCAGTACTGTCAATTATCATTAGAGGTGTGAGATCTGCTATGCTGCTCAGTTCAGACTTGCTTATGGATAGGGGGCATTGGTAATGTATGTTGAAAATGTATTGTATGTTGAAAACGCTCATTTATTTCCCTAAGAAATTATAGTAAATACCAATATGTGTCATACAAACAACTATGACAAACATTGTCAGAGTGATACAGACTACGGCTGAGATTGTTTTTTTGTTTGTTTTTAGGCTCTGTCTGAGACTGTTCGAAGAGTACAAACAATATCATCTTTAACTGAACTTTTTTCTTGGTTCTATTCCTCGGTTGGTTCTCATGACATTAGACCTCACAGAGGCTGTAAATAACTACAGCACATTATTAGCAGAGTTCTTGCAAACATTGACAACTAGCCTGTGTTTTTACCCATTTATATCAACTCTATCCATCTTCAACAAAAATATGATCCACCATTTGTTCCAGTTTTCTTACTCACCACGTCTTTTGTGGCAAAGACAAAGTGATGCGTCTCCAGTCTTTGAACTCAGATGGGTGGTAGACACTTGGAGCCGTGAACTCAGAGCAGCTTGGCATGCCAGGCAGACAGGCCTGGTTTAGAGACAAATGTGGTTTCATTAAACTTTTGTGCTATCGTTAAATATTGATCACTCAACGTTCATACAGCATTTTGTTTAGCAACAGGATTGCTACCCGATACCTCTGACCTTGAACAAGCGTTAGAAAAATAAGGGTACGGGATATGTGACAAGTTACTCTCTTTAAATACAGAATAACAGACAAATGTGCTGACAGAGGACTCATTACAGTCCATTAAATTTCAAACGCCATAAAAATCCTCCTTATTAATTATGAATATCATGAATATTAATAAGGCCGTTGTGCTCGCAGAGAGTTTTCTGTTGAATAATAGGGAAATAATATGCTCGCTGATCCAAGTAATGTTATGTAGATTTGCTAACAGCAAAATTAAAGAAATCCTGTGCATTATTTTATTTTTAGAAACAAGGAGTGTGTATCTATACATTATTACCTAGGCTCTAACAGATAAATCAATATTCACGACCATGAAGAAGTTCCCAGCTCTCCACTTTAAATGAACAAACAATTCAGCCAGAAAGTTAGCGCCACTTAGTGGTTTACATTACTTACCTCTTTAACTAGGTGCCAAGTGAGACCGTGATTTGTGGAGAACTCCAGACGGACCTGAGTGTCAATGTGAGGGGAGGGCTCCCGTCCACAGCCCATGACCAGTGAGAACTGCAGACTGTAGGAGGCGCCAATCTGCATTGACTGAGTTTCCACGTATCGGATACTGGAGCCTGGGCTGGGCTCGCCAGAGAAACTGCAGCATATATAACAGACAAACGTGTTGAAATTGGTTTTTGTTACCATCATGATTACAGTCGATCACAGCTCATCGATCGCTTACCTAAGTGTCCAGTCGTGCTGGCAGTAAGGTTGGACATGGCCCAGGTAGAAACCGAGACTCTGAGTAACATCTAGCACATTGCTGAAGTCCAGACTGATGGTGTTGAACAACACAGAGGTCATGCTGATTTCATCTAAGGCCCATACATCCTGGCCACGGCCCGAGTGGTACGGCTGCCACCAGCGAAACTGTACCCCAAATTTCCGAGCTCCGGAGGGAAGCTCCACAGATACGATCCTGTGTTAGAAAAACAACAACTGACTGTTAACTGAATGTTACTGACTCCTCATGGAAAGTGTGGTTGACTTGAACAGTTAATGCTGACTTGTCCAATAAGCACACAAACTAGGTCACGTTCTAAATGACAAATATTTCAGATGGAAATGATCACTGGAGCGATTGATGTTTGCTCCTGGCTTTAATTAAGAAAAACAAATACAGTCTTTTGTTTGTGATTAATATAGGTTGGAGAGAAGTACAAAGAAACTGCTGCAGTGCAGATGAGTAGATGAAAACAGCTAAAACATATTTCACAATCCTGACTTTGGGTTGATCTTCACTGTAGTGCTAAAATACATAGAATTAAAAACCCTGAGCTGCAGTAGGATTTTTCCAACATAAACCTAATTTTTTGACCTTCCTTCTGCTTGATCTTCATTCGTCAAATCGATGACACTGCAGTTTAAAGTTTTAAAGTTTTTTTAAAGTTCATCACTGACATGAATCTGCTTATGGTTATGGACCTAAAGTGTCTTTTGAAGTACACAGCCATGTACCGGTAATTATGCACACACTCATACCTCGGTTCATGAAACCCTTGATACGCATAGTGCTGCAGCAGGGTCCAGGTGATGCCATTGTCAGAGGAGTAATGCAGCAGCACGCCCTCCCCTGGCTGGTCTGGGGCAGGGCACGAGCTCAGAGTGCTGCGGCTGCCCAGCCGAAGAGTGAACTGCAAGTACCTGCATAGAATCAGAGTCAGAGTCATGGAATGAAAGAATCAGTATAGAAGGAAGAGAACCAAAACCACAGCAGACAAAAGAACAGCCCACATCAGAAAACAAAGGGAAGAGAGAAAAGTGCAGGTTGATGGATACAAAGAAGGAAAGTAAGAGTGTGATTATTTAGTGGATGAAGCGGTGAGACAGAGGTAGAGGAGAGGATAGGAAGTGAAGCATAGGAAGGTTGCAGGATGATGGATGAGACGATTAAATGAATGAAGATAAATTAGATAAGAGAAGGAAGCGTGGAGAGAAGAGAGATGGTGAGAATTTGTCAACAGTTTGTTAGATGTACTCTATATGTAGCATGCGCTTCCACATACATATATTCCCATCTCGGTGTTGGCAGACGTATCATCATATTTACTAATGTATTATATATTGTAATCCCCATCGTTAGTTCCAGCCCTCCACTCTGTCACCAGCGAACCTCAGTGTTCTCTGTCCCTGACTAAGCCCTGCTGCTCTAAGTGATGCGGTTTTCTCTTCAGGCAGCTGTTCACTCAATCAAGAGGGAAAATAGCATTAAATATGGCCATCAGGTGGCACACTGAGCAGCGCAACAGACATAATCAATCTAACACAGATGCCAGAGCCAAATTCATCATCCTTCTATCTTTCTTTTAGCCATTCCATCCTCAGCTTTCATCTCTCTTGCTCATTTGCAGTTCTCTCCACAATCATAATCCATCCACCGCTGAAGAACAGAGAGTCAGAGCAGGAGGGAACTCATGGAGTTTAATGCTGACTAACTTTGACTTTAAAATATGTTAATGACTGAAGGATGTTACTAGGAATATGTGTTTGTGTGTATTATTTCATATTTAGAAAATAAGAAACATTTTAGATCATTTTAATGTCATTTGTTTTCTGTAAACCTCAAATGAAATCATGTCTTTATTGTCTCCTAATGAAGGTGGGATCCTAAACTTACCTGGCCTGAGAACTGTCTAATGGTGCAGTGACCAGGTGCCTCCTGCTGTCCCTGTTGAAAACCAGAGCCTTTCCACTGGCCAGCACCCCACAGCCGAAGCTGACCTCCGCTCCACGAAGGGACGAGAAACTGTGGTAGGAGGAGAGGCGTGGGCTGGAGAAGCCTTCGGACAGGAATGCTGGGAAGGTCTGGGAGGCCAGTTCACAGGCCGGACCACTGAAGCCAGGGTCACATCTGGGAAACAGTGAAATATGAATGTGTGAGAGGAAGCAATGAACAAAAGAAATAGACATTTAATTTAAGATGACACAACAACAACACACACTGATAGTGGATGTCGGTATAACACATTAGCAGCACTATGATCTGGCTTGTACTAGGTTTACTCTGGTATATTAAGCTCATCCATACTTGCAGCCCGTTCGGGAACAGTGTCCTCTCCCTGAACAGAAACGAAGACAAGCTGGACCAATATACACTGAAAACAAACAAAAAAATCAGTTAAAGCTGAATGTTTATGCTTTTAATAATCAACAGAAAGTCTTTAATATAGGGTTTTGTTAGAAGGACATTGCAGGGAAAGAATAACACACAAACAAAGTAACTAATGAGCTTGGACTGAACTTTCACAGATAATCCACTCGTCCCTTTAACTACATTTACAGAGACAGTAAATTATGACTCAAGGCCATTTTTGGAAAAACTGATAAAACATTGCAGCACAAACACAGCTGTACTGTTGTAAAGATGCCTCCTGTGTAAACACTGGACGTGCTTGACATGAAGCAGCACAGTAACTGAGTACATGCAGTGTTTAGCTAAGCTAGAAAAATGAGCTGAATATACATAAACATTATAAATAACATCTCTCCACAGATGTTTTACTTTTATTTTAATATATTCATATTAAAAATGGAAAAAAATATAAACATGTTCATGAACTGGATTTGTGGTACGCCACCTCTGTGATTGCCCAAACCTAACATATGAACCATGTGACCTGTTGGTCCTGCACTTACCATTGTCTATGGCCCACATGTTGCTTGTTCCAGTGCCTGACTGATTCCATCGGAAGCGTGTTGTCTCTGTCAGAGCAGCATTGGGCAGAGGGATGGATATTCTTGTCCATCTGCAGAGAAAAAAATGGAAACATGAAACTTGAACTGAAATAAAATACACAAACACATACACACTGATGTGCATTTATACCCGCTGTAGTTGTCAGAAGAGTAGACGGTGCTGTGAGGTAAATGTGGTCCAGAACAGAGCTCAGGCAGACACTCAGTGTGCAGCAGAGACCAGGAGCGACCCTGGTTGGTGGAGAACTCTAAACTGACACTGACAGAAACAAAACATACAACATTCATTTCATACGTTGCACATTTGTGGTGTGACGGCTGTTCAAAAACATAACTTATTTCTTTCTGCACATTTACACCTGTGCCTTGGCAGTACAAACACACCTGTTGGCAGGCTGGTAGGAGCCACAGCCCAGGTTGATGGAGAACTGAGCAACATGTGTCTGTGTGCCAGGGAGCACAGGGAGAAGCTGCATGAAGTCCACGGCCCACACGTGACGGTTGGCCCCTCCATGTGACCGCTGCTCCAGGCAAAACTGGGTGACGGGCGTCTGTAGCTCAGTGGGCAGGGCCACTGACACCACAGAGGGAGTCTGATGGAGGAGGAGAAAGAAAAGCTTATTTTCTGACTCCTACTTTAAACTCTTGTGTTTCCTCATGGTCATTTGAAAAATTCAACTCTTTTATAGTTGTACTTTTATTCTGTATAAACAAGCTTAACTTGGAGACTTTTGTAGTAATAGTACAGAGTAAAGTTAGACTTGAAGTGTAGAGTAGAACTGAGTGAATCAAACAGGTGTGTGGTGGGACATTATTAGGGGTAAGCACATTAGGTGGCATTAGCAGTTGTCAAAAGTAAAGAAATAAGTTCAGGTCAAAAATGGAAAACATTATACACATAGTGCCAACAGAGAGTGGGTTAATGTTTTTCGTTGGTTTCAGAATAAAAAAATCATGATTGCTTTCCTAGGGAGGTAAAAACACTTAACGGTAGTAAAGAGTCTTTACTAAAAACACAATATTTTCACACAAAATATTTGGACTAGGTCTCACCCTGTAAGAGGAGTAAGGAAGCGTATCCAGCACCACACGTTCCCGCCTGCCTTCAAACCTCCCAAACAGGATGACATCATTCTCGTGGGACTCTGCTGGGTCACAGCTGCCACCACCTAAACACAGCAGGACTTCAGTCATGTGTTGTTGGCACGTAATAAAGATGTGCATAAAAACAGTGGTGAGAGAAGCAGCCGTCAGAGCAGAGCATGACAACAAACACAGTGTGTGTGTGTTACTCACTTTTGCTGAATGCTAATAAATGACACAGTGTGATGGATGTGGGTGGTGGTGTGGTGTGGTGTGGTGTTCCATACCCATGGTAAAGTAGAAGCGCAGGTTTCCATACGAGGTGGTGTCCAGGTAGGGAGTGCACACCCGTCTGCGACCCTCCCTTTCGAAAACCAGGGCAGTGCCCGACTCAAGTTCTCCACACTGGGTCCCATAAACGGCTCCTTCTATGTCCCAGCTGGATTAGAAATACAGAGGTTTGGTTTAGTGAGGAAAATAAGTCAGTGAAATATTGTTTCTTTATTTCACCAGTAGGAGTTACATCATTATACTGAGTATATGTCTGCAGGCTAGAACTACTGCTAAATATTACAGACCCTGTGCAGTTGACTACTTCACAGCAGACAATCCATACATTTTAATTACTGACATATGTGGAAATCTTTTTTTTTTTATGTCTTTAAATGAAATAGGCCAGAACTATGATGAAAAGTCTAGGAGTATATAAAAATGTACAGTCCACAATACATAAAAATAAATGAATGCCAAAAGTAAAACAATTCAATAATAATTTAAATTTCATTATTATGAATTTTAGTTACTTCACATTTTGTGAAGTGACATTAATATACAAGAGAAGCAATCTTTCACTACTGTAGAAATAAATCAGCCATAAATATAACTTTACTGCAAAATAAAATGTATCAAGAGCAAAATAAAAAACTGACTTCAATGTTCAGATGAAGACCGTCTGACAAAAATAACTAGAAATAGACAAAAATAAAAATAAAACAATAACAAATAAATATGGTAACTTAAGCTAACTCAGAAATGTAAAGAGTTAATAAAACTGGCCCAAAATACCTTTCGAAAACAATGTCAGACAAATAATGCTTGAAAAGCTGGTCTGCACAATGTACACCTTTTAGCTATTAATCACAGCCACATACATAATTACACCAGAGTGAGTCATTACTACAATAATGGTAAACAGCAGCACGAATAATAGTGTACAAACACCTGTGGTTATGAATTGCTTTTTTCATTGACCGTATCCTCAGGAGAATTACTGACATCAGGAAAGTGCACTACCATAACTCACAGCTTGTCACTAAACAAAGACTTAGACCCAGGAATACTGATTATCAGTATACATCACCTGGCACAGCATACGCGCATAAAGCACACACACCCACGCGCAGATATACAGAGTTGTGCAGAGTGGAGCGAGGATCCTCATTAGCACTGACAGAACCTCATTCCCTCTCGAGCCCCCTTCTCCTTCCCCTTCTTCCTCCCTGCTCTTGTCATGCGGTGCGTTCGCCCCGTGTGCTTCTGTCACTGAGTGTCGGTGCCATCGCACCACAGAACCATTCTTGCTTGCATCAAACGCGTGTCAGCTCATGTCGCCTGATGGGGGAAGAGCCAGCATGCAGTGCAGCATGTTGGCATGATGCATGTGGTGCTGGTCCAGAATGACTGTAAAAACACTCCCAGGTGTTGAGGTCTTTCTCATTAATGGAAAAGTGCAGTGACAGACCTGGTGCACACCGGTGGTCTGTGGATTATTCTCCAGCGAAGAAACTTTTTTTATGGTTCGTCTATTTTCTACCTCCTGTGGATCTTTTGACAGTGTGTCTTTGCTTTCCACTGTCCACTGTGTCTCTGTGTGTTTACCAACATGTGCTGGACTCTGGCACCTGTATTAACCTGTATGAGCTTGACACTTGTTGAACAAGTGACATGTGTCGTAGTCACTGCATAAAAACATTAAGGAGGGAAATATGTGCAGTGATTTTCCCTCGATGCCTAAGTTTCTCATCTTACCACTTGTTTTAATAGTTTGTCCCTGTAATATATTTAGATCATTTACATCATAAAATACGGCTCCGGGTCAGGCGACCAAATTTGGTTTTATTACATCTGCTTCATTGCTTCTGAGCTTCCCGCTCCCCTCAGTACGGGGTCAAATGAGTCTGTGACACATTTTAAAAGAACTTTAAAAACTGTAAATCTGCACAGAGTGGCATTTTAATGGAGTGATACTCGTAGTAATACACAGGTTTAATTAGTTTGACCTTTTATTGAAATTGTTGTGATGTACTTTTTATAGTGTTTCACTTTAATGTACCCTTTCGGAGTGCTGCTTAAATTGAGTTACTCAGTTCTTTAAGAACCAAATGTATCAGAAAGTTTCAGAAAGAAGTAGTTTATCCCTCAGTTTGACTCACTTTGAAGGTGGACTCTCAAAGTCCTCCTCCCAGTAGCTTCTTCCTTCCTCCCGGTGCAGATCAATGTCTCTGGTGGTGGCAAAGTTGTGGCCCACTCCCTCACCGCCATGGAAATACAGAGCATTGCCTTCGGACTGACAGGCGTGCTGAGTCAAAACACAGAACATAACACGGGCGCTCAGCGACAGTTTCACTCAGCACTGACTGTCACAGGGTCATCGTTCTCATTCTCCTAAGTTATTCTCCTTTTTAGTTCAAATTGCTGGTTAAAGGTCAGGATCCAGATCAGCATACCTTGATTGTTGCTCCAGGGAAGAAGAGCCAGTTAGCAGTGTCTGGGGGGTCCAGACTGTCCTCCATTAGAGGAGTTTTGTGAGCGGCATTAATGAGGAGCACGTTGTCCAGACCCCAGCAGGACTCATAGCCTTCGGGGCCATGTGGGGTCTCCTGAGACCATTTGAGATGGACACTTTCAGCTCTGGATAGATGTGGTAGGGGGATAAGGTGGATGACGGTGCTGCTGTTGGTCGGAGCTCTGAAAAAGCCAAGAAATTTACAGTCACTATTAAATAGACAGAGATGGGACTGATGTAAAACTACTGGTGCTGAAAAGAGATTTATTTATTCACGTGGATGTTTAGAAGGCTGTACGATGACATTACCAACATCCCTAAGAGCTAATGAATAATAAAAACACAGAAGAGGAATGACAAATTGAGAGGAGGAGGTGTGAATAAGGGAAGAGGGAGAGAGTGGGTGTATATACCAGATGGAATGACTGTGGGATAGATGAGCAAAGGAAAAGGTGAAGAGGGAGAGAGGGAGAGAGAGACCTGATCTTCTCCAGGGTGATCCAGTCATCTGAGGTGTTGCTGTTTCCACTCTGACTGTACGACACAGTGATGCTGGGGTCTGAGTAACTGAAGCGACAGGAGCCTGAACCTGGGAAAAAACACAAAGAGAGCCCAGTGCATGGGACTGTGAGTGCACTGAACACATCGAAAGTTTGTGTTTCCGTTACTCAGTGTTATCAGTCAGGAGACATTCCTTTGTTAGCAGACGGGGTGCGCTGTTGTCTCCTGAGTGAATGTGCATTTTCACAAGTCTTTACTATTTTTTATTCACAAATGATGAGGGCAAAAATTCACATTGTAAACATAATTTAAATGTTGTCATGTGCATTTAATCCATCCATGGAGCAGCATCAGTGAGCTGCATGTACTGCACTGTGCAATATGTTTTTGGTGCTGTTTAAACTTTAAACACACAACTCCCTGCTGGTCATGGGATTCAAACTGGCAACCTCTCGATATGGACTCTTGTGATCACAAGCCCACAGGCTGCCCCCTTAAAGCCACATGCCCTTTGGTACATAAACATGTTGGCTGACAACAGAGCAGTCAGACAGAGAAACATGGGAGAAAATGAGAGAAACTAAAAGGACCAAACAGTAATGTTCAAACAGAAATGACTCCAATTTCCATTCTGCTGACTTTCCAGGAACATTAGAGGATGCATGAAATGGACTGCCACTCATTTATCTTCCTTCAATTCTGGAAATTGTTCATTACTATAGTATTAATATAATAAAAAGGACAGAAACGAAAATAGGATATGTCTTCATTTTTGTATTTAAATTTTATTTTTCATTATTTTAACAGTAAGTATATTTCTCTTGTCTTTTTTGAGCTGCTGGAACACCAACATTTCTTTCCTGAGGCTCAATGAATTCTTTCCCATTCTGGTTGTGAATGCTTAAATGCATTAGTCATTTTTAACACAATTTAATTTGGGAAACATGTACGACTTTCACCATGAGAACAAGGTTCTGTTTACTCACCCAGAGCAAACTGCAGCACTGAAGCTGTGCTGGTGTTGAGAGGAATGGTTGTCTAGAGAAGACACAGAAAAACAGTTTAAAGAAGTCACTGATGGGAGATTACAGCTTCATTTCATTTGACAAGACATCAGCTGATATGTCATGGGAAAGAAAGCCTGATGCACTAAATTAACACGGCGCTGACAGCGGACAGGAAAACATTCACTGATGTTTTCTCTTCAAAAACATGTTCCCTACCAACACTGAAGGAGACACTCCAAACTTAAACGACTGCAGATGGACAACACATTCTTAGGTCACTGTTATATATTTTAAGTATCAACTGTAGGATAAAAAAGTCAACATTTCTAACAGACATGGGATTTTTGTAAAAAATATTGTCAGCCAAAGTTTTTATTTTTCTGAATAAGAGCTGTAATAGAGATTAATAATATTTGTGTGTGTGTTCTGTCGTGTTGGCAACTCTCTGCACAGACTTTTCTGTGTTCCTGGACGTGTTGACTTGTTGCACATAATACAAGAGTCTCCAGGCAGCAGCATCAAAGAGTTGGAACAGTAACAGAGAGGGAACATGCTCATCAGAGAAGTGAAGAGCGCCTCCTAACGCTCCTCTGTTGCTGGTCGGATTTCAAAGGTGAACACAGTATTTATCTTTTCCTCATATTCTAACTCTACTCTTTGTTTCATGCATGGGTTTCAGAAACACCTCTGACCTGCAGCAGCAGCAGCAGCAGCAGCTGCAGCAGCAGCAGCAGCCGCAGCAGCAGCACAAGCAGCAGCAGCAGCAGCAGCAGAAGCCGCAGCAGCAGCAGCAGCAGCTGCAGCAGCAGCAGCAGCCGCAGCAGCAGCAGCAGCAGCCGCAGCAGCAGCACAAGCAGCAGCAGCAGCAGCAGAAGCCGCAGCAGCAGCAGCAGCAGCAGAAGCCGCAGCAGCAGCAGCAGCCGCAGCAGCAGCAGCAGCCGCAGCAGCAGCACAAGCAGCAGCAGCAGCAGCAGAAGCCGCAGCAGCAGCAGCAGCCGCAGCAGCAGCAGCAGCAGCAGAAGCCGCAGCAGCAGCAGCAGCAGCTGCAGCAGCAGCAGCAGCCGCAGCAGCAGCAGCAGCCGCAGCAGCAGCACAAGCAGCAGCAGCAGCAGCAGCCGCAGCAGCAGCACAAGCAGCAGCAGCAGCAGCAGCCGCAGCAGCAGCAGCAGCCGCAGCAGCAGCAGCAGCAGCCGCAGCAGCAGCACAAGCAGCAGCAGCAGCAGCAGAAGCCGCAGCAGCAGCAGCAGCCGCAGCAGCAGCAGCAGCCGCAGCAGCAGCAGCAGCCGCAGCAGCAGCAGCAGCCGCAGCAGCAGCAGCAGCCGCAGCAGCAGCAGCAGCCGCAGCAGCAGCACAAGCAGCAGCAGCAGCAGCAGCAGAAGCCGCAGCAGCAGCAGCAGCCGCAGCAGCAGCAGCAGCAGCAGCTGCAGCAGCAGCAGCAGCCGCAGCAGCAGCAGCAGCAGCCGCAGCAGCAGCAGCAGCCGCAGCAGCAGCACAAGCAGCAGCAGCAGCAGCAGAAGCCGCAGCAGCAGCAGCAGCCGCAGCAGCAGCAGCAGCCGCAGCAGCAGCAGCAGCCGCAGCAGCAGCAGCAGCCGCAGCAGCAGCACAAGCAGCAGCAGCAGCAGCAGCAGCAGAAGCCGCAGCAGCAGCAGCAGCCGCAGCAGCAGCAGCAGCAGAAGCCGCAGCAGCAGCAGCAGCCGCAGCAGCAGCAGCAGCAGCTGCAGCAGCAGCAGCAGCCGCAGCAGCAGCAGCAGCAGAAGCCGCAGCAGCAGCAGCAGCCGCAGCAGCAGCAGCAGCAGGAAGTTCATTTTGGCCTAAAGTGAAAAACCTAAACCTCATATTTCACGATGAGGTCACTACCATTACTGCAGCAATATATTTTGACTTACTTGGCAGATGGCTGAAATAAAACTGTCACCTACAAGTTATGAATGGATCAACAAATGAGAATATATATAACTGGAGCCAGTGACATGGAGAATTAAACAGCTTAAACCACAAAAGTTACCCTGCCTTTGGCTTTGGGATATAGGAGAAAAACATGGTTCCGTCATTTCCCTCTGAAATTACCTACAGTTACTTGAGTCAAAAATGACTTTTTTTCTTTTATAACCAATGAAAATGTGAAAAACACGTTCAAATAACTCCACAGGGTTCACAGTTTTCTACCTGATTCAGTTATGTTTGTCTTAATTTGTGAACAAATATGCTTCATCCATCTTGATTTCATCCATCTTTGTCAAGAGACAGAGAATAGAAAACAATCTCCCCTTTTCTATCATTTATTTTTTTCTTTGTTTGTGACATCACAGCTCATTGGCCAATCCAGTTGTGAAAGGAAAACATATATATATAAGATGTATATAAAACTAATACTAGGTTAGTGTGACTGTTCATTGGTTTCTTAAAGTACTTCATTAAATATACCACAACAATAAAATCTTATTGGGTATATTTTCTGTAGTATTCAATCTCCCAGTGAAGTACTGTTTACTACAACAGCAGTCAGACCTGAATGTCCAGTGTGGTTTCTGCTTTAGCCGTGGCTACTGAGTGGTTGGTTTGCATTATGGGCTTAATGGTCCGTGTAACAGTGTGGCTGCTGTGTGGTCAGACATGGCAGTTACCAGCTCTCGCTCTCCAAAAGGCTCACAGAAAGTGACCGCTCGGCCGTGCATCAGAACACCGCACTGCTCTCCCACATCACAGTTACTGCACTCAGACCTGATGGAAGAGAAGAGACGCAGAATTGAGTTATAGGAGAAGGAGATGCTTAAAAGTAAAAAAAAGAAAAGAAAACGTGATTACAAGCTCAGAGTCTCAACCTTCCGCTTAAAAGTAAAAAAAAGAAAACATGATTACAAGCTCAGAGTCTCAACCTTCCACCTACCAGATGCTGGGGTCCAGTTCTCCTTGCAGGTTGGAGTCAAAGTCGTCTCGCAGCACAGCGTGTCTACCATGAAGCTCCACTAAACACAGGTGAACCATATGTTAGTACAACACATCCACATACAGAGTGTGTATGTGGTAACTAGACATGTTTAGATAGACTGAGACTAAGACTCACCCAGACTCGGTCTCAGTGGGGATTCTGTCGGCACTAAAAGATAAAGGAAATACAGTCGATCAATGAGACACTGGATCAACAACATTAACTGTAAGTCACATGTCATGTCCAAAGTATTAAAAGTTGTACTTTATTAAAATTATTCATATAAAAACTTTTTATTCTAATTATATAATCATATTCCCAATCGTCTCTGTGTGAAACTAACGTTCTGTTCTGGGACCAGTTCTGTCGTCAGTCTACCTGCTACTGACGGCCTTTTCAGTAATGAAAGTCCAGGGCCACGACTAAAAGTTCAATGCTCATTAACCGTCCTCTCTCCCAGAGGCTTCAGTGTGCTGTAGTCTGAGGTCTGTGTATTTTTAACATACTGAACCGTCAGTTCCTCCAGGGAGTCACACAGCTCTGGAGGTAGATGGAGGTGAATGGACTGGACAGAAGTTTATTAATCACAAGTAAGAAAAGACAACTTTGGAATTAGGATGTTAAGGTGTAAACTGAACACATTTTAAAAGAAATCCATAAAACATATGTATATGGTGGTAAACATATGTACAGTATCGTGTTTACCTTAGCTGGTGTGTAGTTGTAAGTTAAACATGATCAATGCTGTGGACTACTGCATTTGGTTTCTTATAAAGAAGTTGATTCATCAGTGACCAAGTCGTGGGCATCCAGTCTGAACTTTTCATTTGACACTGGATTTAAAAACTTCCATTTAACCTTATGTAATTATTAGTCAGTGCCAGGTCACTAGTATTAACAACGACTTTAATGTAAAAACGTGAACCACATCTCTCTTAGAGCTTTTTAACTAAAGGATCATCTGCAGCATTATTCCCCCCAGATTAACCTGCCTACAGCGCCTGATAAGACGCTGAAGATTTAGGATTAGTTCAACCTTACTTCAGCCTTTCTTCTCAAGCTTATAACACTTGTGAAGTGTCAGGGAGCTAACTGAAAGGTGTACTGAAGTAGTACTCACTACATTAAAAAGGTAATATGCCGAGCACACACTTTTAGAGCTGGTTTCCCTAAAATTGTAATATTTTTGCGAGAGCGCTTTAAGCCTTAAACTTCTTACTCATCGTCTGTCCTATTTTTCCCTGTGGACCCAGAGAAGATTTAGTCTACAGACGGTGTTGTAAAGTTCCATGCTGACTTGAGGAGATGATGTATTAGTGGCCTGTGTGACAGAGCTGCTGGGTTCAGTTGCAGTGCTGTTGCTGCTGTGCTGGTGGGCCCTGATGTCTGACTGTCTGCCTGTGGCTCAGAGTCAACTATGAAGCTCATTAAAAGCAGATCAAAGGCCCGTTCTCCTCCCTCAGTATCACTCCTGCTCTCCCCCTTTTCTCCCCAAACTAACCCTGCATTGATTCAAATCAACTACTGCTGAAACACTTGACTCTTTATTATTTTTGTTCATTTCAAGAGCTATAAAGAGTGGTAACCTGATAAAGGTATGATATTAATATACATTAATATTTATGTCCATCTGTTTTCTCCAATGCCCCTGTAAACAACTCTCCAGTCAGTTTATTTGGGCCAATGGGGAAATGGTAAATAATCCCTTCAAGCCTCTAAAAGAGCTGCATTTACACTTCTTTCTGCATGCTTCATCAAACTCTGTGTTGTGTTCTTCCTCTTCAAGTCTCCCTGCCCACCCCCTCCTCCTCCTCCATTCCGCCCCTCTTCTCCGAACTCCCTGTTCATCAGAGAGCAGACAATTGCACTCATTTGACTTGGATTAATCCCCTCTCATTTTCTTAAAGACTTCAATTACTGCCTCCTCTATTACCCACTCAGATCTGCTAATGCCTGTATCTCCCAGTCCAGGGTTTAGACTCACCAATACACATGCGCACATAAACCATGAAGGTTTGACATTTGTGGATGACCCTGCCACTCCAGTGTGCATGCACATAAGCAGGATCAACAACAGGCTAAAGGGCTCTCAGTAAACGACACCATGGCTAAAACCAGTTGGGTGCTGATGAGTAAGGATGGGCTGATGTCAGGGATTAGAGTTAATATGTATAAGCTGTAGCAGACTCAGACATCTCAGCACAAAGGCATTGGGAAAAAAAAAGTCATGTTACGTCTCCTCTGTCTCCTATCTCCATCTCTCAGCTTTAATCTCCTCCCTGACTCACCCTCCCTCACTCCCCCCTCTCTCCGTCTCTCTTCTCAACCCTCTAAACTCTGTAAACTCCAACTATTTTGATCTCCTTCATCCCACATTGTTTTTCTTGTTGCCCTTTTATCTGGCTTGCATCCGTCACAACATGAACTGTGTTTGAAGTCTAGTTGCTAAATGAGGGCTGCAATTACTGCCTCACCGGGGTTTTGGATGTTGCTGTTGTTCTTTTAGGGGGAAAAAGTTTTCCTAAATGGCAATATTTACATAATATTTTTTTCTTTTTAAAACTCAAAGTCAAAGTGCCATATCTAATATAATCCCAGACTCACTTTTAATGCAACAAAGAAGAGTAATCTGAAGAAATTATCCTTGATTTTACTCTTATAAACCCTTTACACAACACAGTTTCAGTCCAGCAAGTGTCAGCAATGCAACGCAGTGTTGAGACCTCATGTCCTCATGCCCAAAGAAGCTTATCTAAGATAGCAAGGTTGGCTTAACCTAGAGAGATGGCCTAGACCTGATAGCTCTGCTAACCTGCTAGCATCAAGCAACTGGTGGTGGTCAGCCGAAAAAACACACTGTGCTACAGTATGTTCTAGTCTAAAAAAAAAGAACAAAACACTGGTCTGTAGGAATAAGTCAGGATGAGATATGGACGGCCGAGTCTCAAGGTGAGTGATGGCAGACAGTAGCAGGCTGGCATTAGGCCACACGAACAGTCTGGGGGACAGAGTGGGTGGGTGATGTGGACATTGTTCAGGAGAAGCTTACAGTCCCCTCGCTGTGGCTCTCTGATCAGGCGTCCCTCAGGGAGCAGTGGCCTCTTTGAGTTATATGTCCCTTTAATAATCCATCTGCGGTGCTGTACACCCAGCCAGGCCCATAAAAGCCTGATTTACTTCCTTGTTGGAAATGAAGGGACTCGGTGATGCCGGGCAGAGAGCGGGGACTCCTGGCCTGCTGTCAGGAGATAGAACTGATGGACGACCTGCAGTGCAATTTAACACCCACGACCATTGACTCCACCCTTCAAACAGCCTGCTGAGTAATCCTTACCCTCACTGTAGACCTGCGTTAGTCCTGAATCCTTTACTTAAACTGAATGTATTAGCCATGATTTCCTTTACCTGCAAGAATCAAAATAGAGTCTTGATATCTAAGAAATCAAGAATCAAAATAGAGTCTTGATATCTTCCAATAATATTAGTTTACTTGCAGTTTCATTGTGCCTTCCACCAAACTCTTTAAGGTTTCAGTCAAGACATATAAATATATAGACAATATAAAAAATATTGAAAAGATTTTTGAATGTTTTGAAGTTGTTGAATCATCTAATATTCTGATTTAAATTAAAATTCCACTGAGTGACTTTTTACTCTCCAAGGCTCTGCCTGCTTAGGTTCTCAGCTTAGTCTTATCTTAACCTAGCTCCTTAGCTAATCTCTCATATGTTCTTGAATCTCCATTCTGTCTGATCACCTCTCACTGTATCCCCTACTTCACTTTACAAGTTTGTTGGCCTGACTTTTACGTCGTTTCAGATCTTTAGACTTTTGGATTGGAGCCCATGTATCTGCCTGAGCTGCTGCTGGAGCCTCGCTCACACATTCAAGTCGATTCTTAGGTATCTTAGATTGTATTTTTGCAATAGCAAAGACAATTGTAAGGCCACTGCAGAAGATGCTAAATTAATTTTTGATCCACAGTGAAGCTCACTCCACTTTTATAGCTTGTTAAAAAAGTTTATATGACGGAGAATTGGATTGAGTTTCATAGACTTGCATCAGCAGAGCAGAGAAATAACATACTTGACCATTCTGCAGAAATGATCAGACACATTCCTGTTTTTGACTTTTCCTCTTTTTTCATATATTTCTCTTTGGATTTCTTTTGGCCTTTAAAGATCTTAGCTAAATATTTGGGAAAGACAGAAGTCTTCCAGTGTTGGAAGTCAAGAGAACAACAACATGGTCAGGTATCCTCTCAGTACTCTCATGACCTCCAATCTCTCTCTCTTCCTTACCCTCTTCTTCCTCCTCTGTCTATAACTGACACCTGTGAATTACAGCTCTACAGCACTGTGTCCTGTATCAGTGTCACCTTTGTCTGTAACGTTTTACCTACCCGTTCCTGCCACCTGTGTGTTCTGTCTTTTTCAACACACCTGTTTGACATGATTACACTGGTACGTCCCCTGTTTGTGTCCATTCACAGCGTGTTTTGCGACTGCAGTCTATACAGTAGCTTCGCCTTCCAATTTGTCTGCTGTGAGTGGTTGTACATTAGCGTCACACTGCGGGGCCTTGGCAATGAAAGACGACGCGTCTGTTGTTGGCTGGAGACTTTTCATAGTAAGAGGAAGAGGGACCCAGTGAGGCTGTGTGTCAGTGTTAGAGAGGATGAGCTCTCAGCCCAGCAGACAGAGGAGAGGAGGCTTGTCGCTAACACTCGGACTCTCTTTCAAGTCTGAACAAGGGCTTCTTTCCAAGTAGCACGGAGCCATTAAGTGAAGCACTCAGTCTGGCGTGGGCAACACGTTTCCAGTAATCTGTGTGAAAAGACGCTTGTAAAAGAGTGGCCACAGACCTGGTGTTAATCTGGTACAGAGTGAGCTTTCGTCCTGAAACCATGAACAAAAACAGCAACAACTAAGGTACTGTAGTTTCAGCATTTAAGTCATGTTTGATCTCCAACAGGAGTCGTCAGGTGAAGAGGAGCCGTCTTCCTTGTAAACAGGCAATTACATACTTTCAGGCTGCAGAGTGTGACTGTGCCTCCTGTCAATAGCTACTTAAAGCTGTCAAACAGAGTGGATGTAAGTGTGTCGGCTGTAATGCCTCAATCTCTGGCAGTGAGAGAGAGAGTGGGGAAAGAATTTTGCATAAGCTGAAATTAAGCTGGCAATATAGGACATCCAAATATCTCCGGCTTTGTGAGCAGAAGAACCGAGGGAGTGCTGCAATTTCCAGAAGAATCGGCACATCAAATATTGTGTGACATCCTGAACATTAAAGGTAATTATAGAGTGAGTTGGTGATTGTGTTGATGCACTTGGACGTTTGTGTTTGTACAGCTCTGGACCAATTCATTAACATTGACAGATTTACCAAAAAGTTTTCTGAGGTTCATCACAGTTTTGTACTGTAACAATAAGGATTTGTTAAATGTTTCCGTCTGCAAGTATTCTGAGCTTCAGAATAATATAAGTTAGTATGTGAACGTACATGCCTGAGAGTACAGCACATTCTCATCTACTTTTCTTCCACTCACCTCCTTGCTCACACAGCTGCTGGGCCAGAGCATCCTTGAAAATGATCTGTCCTCGGTGGGTTGCTGTCGCACTGAAGGAAGAAAAAAAGGAGAGTTTAGAGGAGACCAGGGAGGAGGCACAGCATATTTACACAAATAGCACTGCCATTAAAGTCTGTCCTTTGTGTATGATTGATCCAGAACAGACGACCTCAACCACAAAGTCCTCAAGTGTCACCACGTTCACAAAGTTCATTTTGGTTTGAGGAATGGGAGCAAAGAAGAAGATGAGAGGATGAGATTTATGGAATAGATTTAGATTTTAGCCACGTGAAAAAACAGTGACTGCCCAAATGACGGCTTCGTTCCCTGCACGACCCCACTGCATCCATGCATACTGCTGTTGTACCTCCAACAGAATGTCACATGCTTGTACATTTATGGAATGTAATACGATCTAACGGTACCAACGATACTTGTTACTGCCATTAAAATGTAATATTAAACAGAAAGTAGAAATCTGTAGAGATTGTGGACGGATAATGAGACAAAATTCATATAAACAACAGAAATGAGAAATATTTAAACAGAAAAATCATAGAAATATTGTAGTATTACAGCATCAGCAAAACAGTTATCATATTATTGGAACCTTTTTACAACTATTGGCAGTCATTTATCCTTGACTGAAAATGTAAGAACAATTAAAATATTTCTTCAATTTATAAAAACTGATAACATTTTATTTTTAACTGACATTTTGGGGGGAAAAACATGATTCTTGGCAGGTACAACATGGTCTATGTCCAAATATCCCATTGTCATCTTGGAGGCCCCTATCCTCCACTTTGAGAATCCCCCATTCTATGTATTAATACTACTATGGTACACATCCTCCCTGCACCCTACATTGGACACTTTTTTTTATTTTTATTTTTTTGCTGTGCCCCCTTCTGCAATAGCTCCATGTCATCTTGGAGGCCCCTATCGTCCACTTTGAGAATCCCCCATTCTATGTAATGCATTGAGAAGAGGAGAGGAAACTATTCCACTTCCAGCTGGATTGTCAAAAGCCGTACTGCACGAAGCTTATGGCATAATCTGCCTTTATTTCAAATTTCAGGGAAGAATGAAAAACGTATATAGAGATAAAACAGTTGGAGTGGGATTGAGGTCAGGAACATAAAGAGGATAAATATTACTGCTATTAGTGCTAATACTCTCAGTCCATCAACAAGAGTGCAGTAGTTTGAATATTGCTGCATGTGGTGGTCAGTGTTTGAAAAAAAAAAAAGAATTTATTTGAACCCCGGTCCTTCACTGGCTATTAGTGCCACCCACATTCAGTGAGCCAGTCAATACAAAGACAACTTGTGGAAAAAAATATTTCATTTGCATTGGAAGCACACGCTCCGTTATTTATACCGTTGACATGGTGTTCAGGGTTTTCCCAGAATTCCTAGACATTACACAGCTTTTCAATGACCTCAGCAAAACCAGTGAAGTTCTGGGCCACCTTGTGAGAAGGATGTTCCACACCCCAGTATATAATGTACAGTACATTACAGCATATTGTAGACCCAGAGGAGTCAATAACATAGCACGGGTTTATGGGCTCTGTACAGTAAGACTGAGGTTAGTATTCAGTGAACCTCACTCCCCCCCTCATTCTTTCTTCCTTTGCTGGAATCTAAAGTGGATTTTTTCCCTTTACCTCCCAAACTCTAGCCAGCTCTGGCCCACCGTGTAGACTTTTTATGGGTGCCACGGCATTTACGCTATAATCACAGCTCGTAAATAATGAAAAAAAGTCCTCATCAATTAGTAAAAATCAACAGTGCATGTGCAGAGCTGGCAGCAGGCATTCATAATTACGTTCATAATTCAGGATTGGGTGAACAGTAATTTTGTTTGGTATTTATGAATAAAGGATGGTGTTCAAAGAACAGCACGGGGTGGTGTAGGAACAAGGCCCTTAAATATTTATGCAACGCAATGTCAGATCAGCTTCACCAAAAAGTCAGGAGGCTCATACTCAGTGTCAGTGGTGACTACACCACAGCTCTGCACATGTGGTGTGGCTTTAAGGATGCGGTCGATTTTCTGCATTAAAACAACACGAGGGACTCCATTGGTAGTGGCTGTGTTGTCTTCTATTAAACTGCTTTACAGTAGAAATAACTATGTTATTTTATATTTACTTTGCATTTGTAATTATAATAATGTATTATAAATGTATTGATTCTTATTTTTGTGATTTTTATTTTATGATTAAAAAGAAAAGTCAAACGTAAAACATCAATTAACCCGAATTTCTGAAGATCAGCCTCAGCCATGGAAACATCCATACCAGGTGACATGGAGTAGCAGTACATTTACATTAGACAGAGTCTATTTAATAGTCAAGTGTAATGGATTGTTTTTCCTGTTCTGTATGTGGGACCTAATGCTGTGGGTCAGTAAAACAACAGTCAGGAAAAGGCTCTAACTTCAGCAGCAGAGTGAGTGTGTGACATCAGCATCTGTCCCACTGACACACTTACACCCTGAAACCAAACATTTTCACGACTTTCACTGATATGAAAATGCCATCGAGGGCCTTCAGTCTTACTGCTTCAGTGGTGGAGAGGAAAGAAAAGAGAGAAAGACAGAACGATACAAAGACATGGTTTTACTATTACTACTATTTGTAGCAGTGGTTAGGATGTAGATACAGGGTTAGACGGCCTCGTCCATGCACGCACACACACACACACACATACACACACACACACACACACTTTTTGCCTCTCCCTCTCTGCTCCCTCTCTCCTTTAAACCATATATGAGCGTGGACAGCCTGTATGCAGATGGACAGGCTGTCACTCAAAACTCTCCAGAAGGCCCTGCAGTGGGTTATTACCAAGCATGTCTTCCATGTTAGATTATATGTTGCTGTCGGCCATAAGTATCCCCCAGGAACAAGCTTGACAGCTCGCTGCCAACTGTGGTAACACACACACACAAATACACATTTACAAATGGGTCACAAACAAGCAGTTGCATATATTTAAAATCAAACAGAAGCCCCTGAGGCTGACCACAGTCTTCTTTCCTTTTACCATCAAATTAAAAACTCGTTTTCTCCCCATGATCATTTGGACTGTTGATAATAATGATTAATACTGTGTGTTTTAGTTGAAGGCAGCTTCAGTTTACAGCTCTGATTTTGTGCATAAAGCCAAGACAAAGGAATATATTATCATTGGTGGATGTATTGTCCATGTTAAGGACCAGCTGTGGTCAGAGACAAGTACAGATCAGGAGGAAGAGTGTGAAGACGGGACAATCACTGATCCAGGGTCAGGAGCTGGGATACAACACAATCTTAATTACAGCCTGTAGCCCAGCCTGGATGTTTGGGGGCTGAGGTTGAGTGGCAGTGTGGAACCACATTACCCCCCACCCCCACCTCCTTCCTTCTGCCTCTGCATTAATTCATTAAAGGCTCTTGGAGAACATGAAAGTTTAATGAAGCCTCACCAAAGAGGGATTTGGGAGTTGTTCTGCCAATTACCTGCTTGTTAGCAGCAGGTCACACAGTGTTACAGCTCTGTGTTACACACACACACACGAGGAACACATCTGATTATTTTATTTCTATGAGCAGAGCAATTGACACTGACGAGTGAGATAAAAGAGTCAAAAGCCTGAGAGCTTTATTTTTTTAAAATTTTTTTTAGAAAGGATAATTCATTAAGAAAGGGAAAATAAATCAAACAACCCTAAAACCCTTTTGTCTCTTCCTCACTTTTTCAAAGGGTCAGACTGGGACAGTGGAGAAAAAGAACAGAATAATCCTCAGTATTTACCCGGGGTAAACATCAAAGCCACGGATCTCTGCGACAAGTCAAGTCTGTTATTTATCTTGTCAGTCACAGTGGAGCACATTCTGCTGGAACATACGGCACAAAAATGTCAGGCAATCATTTCAGAATACACCTGGAACGAACCCTGCACTCCCTGAACACGCTTCATTTAGCTGCACTCTAAATGGAAGGCCTTCTTCTTGTCATCATCTCTGCAGGTGGGACGCCGACCTGCTGACGTGATGTGGACGATCACACCATCGACTGATGTGTACTTTGCATGTCACTGTGTGCATGTGTGCCTCCCTTCACACAGATGTGTGTATAATTAGGGAGGTCAGGTCTTGCCCTGGGGGAAATAAGACCACCCCATCATGGATGCAGAGACCTTTAAGGTGAATACCAACAGGAGTTAGAGAGATGGTCGGGGATGGATGTAGAGTTTTAGAAAAAAAAAAGAGATGAGTGGCGGTTAAAAGGATAATACTTATATGTGAATACGACTTTTTTTATGTTTTACAGAGAATGAGCCACACATACTAATAAATAGGAAATGGTATTCAGATGTATTTTTTCCATTTTCAAAGAATGCTGCACACAGAATAAAGACTCCTTAAAGGCAATAAGAATAGTCTAAACACAGCAGTGTCCTCTAAATCCCTGAGGTTCAGTTACGATGTCGTTCCAGTTGTTATTTACATGACTGATCGACAATAAAAGGTTTAAATTAATAAAAATATACCTGTTTCCTCTCGTTTGTTTTCTCATTTACAACACAAAACCATGATTCTTCTTCTTTCTCTTCTCACTGTCACACAGCCAAAGGCCAAAGTGGAGCTTGAATCATGTGGGAACCTCATTAAACACCTTCACCGTGGTAAAACAGACTCACTGATGGACTGGAGTAATAGGTAATCAATACTGAAGACAAATACTAAAGGACACGAGGGTCTGGCTAACATAGGTCATCTGTCAGTCCGGTGTCTGAACCCTGACCTGTGTCACCACCTGCCACAGACAATGGTGTGATCAATCAAAAAAATCCTTCAACATTTTTTGTTATTTACTATTCCATCATTGTTTTGAGAGATCTGGTATTTTGAATAAATATAAAATATTAAGGTTGTATGCAGAGGTACAAATCACTGATTTGAACTGCTATTGTCTCAGCAATATATTTGGACATATTCAGATGAACTAATACTATGACTTTGTATATTTTTATACAGCAGTAACATTGTTAGAGACGTCAGCTGTAAGCAGCTACGCAGTTCTGTTTGGATGTGCAGTCAGTGGAGTGTAGTCGGCCACATTTGTTCTACATAATTCATTGGCAGCTGTTTCAGAAACGTTTACCTCACACAGGTCTCACAGACCTCCTTCCCTCAAACAGATGGCAGAACCACATCACACGACAACACCAGGCTACAGGGATCATCTCCTCCACAGCAGCTAACAAGACCACACCGGTCAGCGCCAGGACGACTCTCCGCCACTTCTCCTCTAATCCACTTCTCACAGCTTTAACTTTTAAGCAGCCACAGAACAGACGTACAAATCTTATTCACACATGCCATTAAAAACATACGTACACAGCACGACATAAAAATGTAGTAACGGTTTGTTATATGACCAAAGGACACCTCTGCACATTGGTTCAATTAAAGCATTAGTTAAACGCAGTGTCGTGCTGTGTTGTGTTTAAAAATTCTAAGCTGCAGACAGATACACCCAAACATCATCCACATACAAGACGAAACCATTTACTACAAAGAGAAATATATCAATTATCAAAGCTTGATTTCTTTTCTTTTTTAAAGAGAAATATATCAATTATCAAAGCTTGATTTCTTTTCTTTTTTAAAGAGAAATATATCAATTATCAAAGCTTGATTTCTTTTCTTTTTTAACACATATTTGTCCTCCCACCTCCCCCTCCCCTCCTCCCTATCTTCCTTCCTCCCCTCTCAGTCCAAGGCCTCTCACTCTTTTTCTTGATAGCAATTTACAGCCGTCCAGAAAATGAGTTCTTCTGGATCTTCAAGTCGCTGCAGTCTGTCATATCTATCACACTCCTGCTGGTGATCCATTACCTCTTCGACAACGGCGGCCATAAAACTGCTCAAAGACTTCATATTAATGTGGCGGCAGACCATCTCCAGCCCTGTGAAGGACACTCCCTGTCTGCAGCTTCCACTTGTGGAAATGGGCCTTGTATCCATCATGGCAGGATGAAGACAGGACGTTCACTCATTTATTTCTGTAACATCAGCACGAACTCTTTTTGATAAAAAAAAAGTCTTTTTACGTAAGTAGATTTTTAAAATTGGAAATTATCAGTTAACTTAAAAGAAATGATCATCGTCATTGTCCCATGACCCCCAGAGAATGTAAGAGTGTTCAACTGGTTCTATAATGACAGAACCAGAACCGTGTCGTGTCAGGACCCAGAATCTGAATTAGGAAGGAGTTCTAAAGATAAGCTTCCATTCAACAAATCCTCCTGTTAATTCACAAATGTCACCATGTGATAGTACTTACATTTTCTGGGCTCATTTTGGATTTACAGTGAACTGCAAATGTGCAAATGAAACCTGTGCTGGCTGATATTAAAGATGACAAACCAATAAAGGAACAACAGATTTGACTAGAGTAATCCTTCATTTGTAAATATTACGTACATCCCCATCTGATGCCTGAGGGTGAAGGTTGTAAATGTCGTGCTAGAAATTGGTTGTTTTCCTCAACGGCCTTTCATTAGGACACTCCCTTCTCTTCTGTGCTGCTCCAGCCACAGTCACTAATTGGGTTTTGAGCGATTATCAATGTAGGACAGTAAATCACCAGCTACAGAGGGAGTTAGAGGGAGTTTCCAGACAGAAAGGGTGAGACAGATAAAGAACAAATATCTGAGGAAGAGGGAGTGAGGATGTCTGGATCACACCCTGGGTGGAGTTCACCAACAACATACACAATTTCCCCTTTTCATCTGACAAAATAGACAGAATGAAATAATGACGCTTGTTTTAACTAAAAGCTCTGAACAGACAGTATTTATTTACATCTTCCACTGCACAGACCATGTACTGAACAGTAGGGTCAGTAGGAGACAAACACACACACACACACACACACGTGCTGACTGTGTCCCTGGTTTAACCTCTCTCCAGACAGCATGCAGGCCTTTGAGTTCACACACACACACACACACACACACACAGTTATGACTTACAGGAAGTTGACGCAGCCAGTGCCAGGTGGTGGTGCAATCCAGACGAAGCTGAAGCTGGTGGAGGCCTGGTGGCTGACATGGGAAGCCACGACGCTGCACACAAACTGGGTTCCAACAAATTGACGCTCCGGAATAACACCTGGAATAGAAGGAAGGACAGAGGTGAGACACTAAGGTGGACAGAAGACGGTTTGTTGATGTTGAGGTGTATGTTGGTGTCTTCATCTCAGGGGGTGCTGCTCAAATTCACCCTCTTTTTTGTGCAAGTAATGGGAGAATAGCAGTGGAGAAGTGATCCACTGGGATCCTGGTGAAACCAAGGTTGACAGTTGCAGTTAAAACCCAGATTATTGAGGGATGTGACGAGGGGCCGGGTCAGCCCACAGACGAGGCTTGGAGCTGTCATGGAGGACTTTATATGACTTTATATGACATTTATAATACATTGTAATGCCATAGGTACACATTTCATGATACTCACCACTGTCATCTTTACATGAATCAACATTTGACTTTTTGTTTTTTCTCCTGGGCTTTTTTTTTATAATTCTAATGATTAGTAGTTACAAAGAGAGACTTTAGCTTCAACTCAAGTAACAAAGTAGTTAGACTGTACTTTTAGCACCTCCTACAGGGTACAAGTAGGGAATTTGGAGTTAGTGTTGATGTATTGTCATGTATTCATCAACACTAACTCCAAATTCCTGCCTACAGTTTTCAAATATTAACCACAGTATATATATATATTCTATATATATGTATATGTGTGTGTGCAGAGTATTGGAGTATTGCATACATGACAATATCACTCTGCCCAGTCTCTCTCTCTTTGTTCGTGGCTGCTCTTTGTTTCATTCCCACTTGTTTGATTTCCTGCCATCACACTAATTTCTTCAACCCAAGTTTTCCTTTTGTTCTCTCATTCCTTCGTGTTTCTCACTTATTTACTAATATTCCTTGGCCCTTTCCCCCTCTCTGGTTTCTTTCCTTTCATCAGTAATGTTTTGCTTTTCACAATCTGGACAAATTCCTACCCACTCCACTCAACCGCCCTCCTGTCAAGCTGACACTACACGGCGGCGATCATATTAATGAAGGTCCGTGTCCGGCTATGATTGCACCGATGAGATGACATCATGTCACACAATCTTTCTCTCATCTCACAGAGGCCAAGGGCAGGATGTCACCAGACTCATCAATAACTGAGCCGACTCACACAACAGTTTAATCGCTTACTTCAACTGGACGGTTTTGCGGAGCAATAACTATCTGAACACAATCTAATTTTCCCACAGCCGTGTGATATAGCGTGTTTGAACCTGTCGTGTAATCCAAAGCTCAAAACTCCACATATTTATGTTCAGCTAACAGCCAGACAAATGTAAAAATGTAGTGTGTGACATTTTATTTGTGTATGAAGATGCAGCCTGTGGATACAATCTTCTCTTTTCTCCTCTGCTCTTGTAGTTAAGGTCACAAGTGTCTTCACTGAAGACATAATGAACAATGATTAAAAAGTCCAGGGCTTTAATATCCCCCAGACTCAAATCAATAGGCAAAGATGTTGCATGTGTGCGTCCTTATGGGTGTGTGGCATAAAAGTAATTATTTTGGGAGAAGTACTCCGCCCTCCTCCGACAGGAATAAATTTGACCTCACAGATTAAACCCATAAATATGCACAGCGCTGGCAGCACCATAAATGTTTTCTGTTCCACTCTGCCAGCTTTGTGCACCGTCTGTGGTCGTGCGTACGGGTCGCCATAAGTGTGTGCGAGTGTCTACGGAGGAGCGAGCAAACCTAGTTATCATTGCTGTTGGATGTTTTTAGATGAATTTATTTCACTGCCCCGTGGGATTTCTAAAGGCTTTTTTCAACACAGTGGTTTCACTTCCTCTCATCCAATTTCTGACTTCACCCGGGGGTCAAGATGAATAATTATTAAAGTTGAAGTGCGTGGTTTAAGAGGTATTTACATGGCGCTGACGTACATCAGGCATGTGGCCCTGATGAGGCAGACTGACAAGGTGTCAAGTGAAGCAGCTCTGTACGTGTTTGGGCAGCGGCTGGTGCAGACTGATGTGTAATCACCTTCTGTTAACACTGCTGTTCCACTATCACACTGTCTGTCTGTGCAATGGCCACCATTTACTCTAACGCAAACACACACACACACACACACACACACACTTTCAACATACAGAAGAGCAGAGATACTTCATGTTTCAACATTTCACAGCAACATTCAGCA